TTCCACACCATGGGAGGGGGACACCCCCTCCCACACCCTCCCCCCTCGGGGGCTTTGCCCCCTTGTTTCCGCTTACTGCCCCCCCTGGCATTTTGCTCAGGCTACGGCCCTGACGATTCATGCGTAGGAAAAGATTTTTTTCAAGAAAAATGTTTTTCCAACGCAAGCATGTATTTAACTGTTGCGTTTGCAGCATTGAGGCACAAAAATATGTATTATTGATATGTATTAGTACTTGTTAGATAATTAGGATTTTCTACAGTTATAAGTTTGAGCGCGTGCGAGTCTGTTTTTGTTGCATGCAGACATATCAGTGACAAAGCACGGGAAACTGGTCGATGTTAAATCTTTTAAGTTTCATTTTCAAGACAGTGTCGGGGATGGAGACCTAGGAACAGCGAGTAGGTAGGCGAATTCCTATGATTCTACCAATTAAGTCTTTATTATGACAAACATGGCGATGTCCCTTTCACAATCCACAGATTAATGACAGTGTTATTGTGTATTTAAACTATCAAGCAGCCAATATTTACAACTTGCATGAATTCCTCTCTCTCATTTCTACTAATTAACATCTTTCTCCTTCTCGTCAATAATGTCAATAATGTTTAGTGTAGGTAAAATTTATGTCCTATCTAATGCACAAAACCTCAGTTATCGGACAACGCTAAATCTTATCATTATAACGAATGAGTAGCTTCTTCTCCTTATATAGTCTGGATTTTGTAACATGACCTTCACAGTCGTGAACAGGAAACTCACCCTCTCTCTGAGATGTTCGTTACTTGATGTAAACGGTTTGCTGAAATCTCCCTTACACTATATACCTGCGTGAACCCATATTGCAAAATTGTTCAACACTTCTTCATTTGTATCTTTCTGATATGGATTACGCTTGACGGAAATCGGCGATAAGCTGTAAGAGGTGGATCTGAAGACCGAGGTGATACCAAATGTCTCAAGAAACATCCATTAATATGGATATGGTTTGCATGGGGTTTTGAACCAGACTGACTAAATTCACTAAGCTTCGACGCGACTATTTAAGTGGCCTTGATCTGCGCCTAGTTGAATTGACATTAAAACCTTAACCATGGGTTCGTCTGGGTTTGCAAGAATTCCAGAGATTTCAGGATAGAAATTGAGAACTGTTGAAGACGAGCACCACTTGATTTATAATCATTCCCATAAACTTTGATCTAACAATAAAAAATCAATAAAAGCATATCTTAAATTCACTTACAAATTCTTATTACCCTTAATCGGCCCGCCCATATTTCCTTAACCGTGCAATGTAGCATTCTTCCCTTCAACTTTGACCTTCGAGCATTTTTCACAAAAAGTACGATGTTTTTATTTGATCTAGGTGTTAGTTCTGCCTTTCATGTTTATTCAACGATTTATGAATGCAAGCCCCGGCGTACTTATGCACGGTTGGCGTACATTGATCAGCACTGATCCGATTAATTGGCCACCTTTTAAAAATGGAACTCAACTGTAATTATTGGCGAAAGTGCATTATGAACTTGGCTTTGTGTCCGAGGTATCCCCTCATGCCGTGCCAATGTGAAGTCCACTCCTTCATTTCTTTAATATATGAAACGGTGCCCAAGATTCGGTACAAGGAAATCGCCGTACAGCCTAATCATGTCGCCTTCTACACCTGTAAGATATACTAGTCTTGATAAAATATTGATACTTATTATATAAGACCTTTTATTTATACCTAAACCCTGTTCCACAAAGGGGCGTAAATCAAAAGATTGCATTTCCTTTTAAATTGAAAATTGTACTCTACGTTGACCATGGATATATAGATTCAGACGTAACTTAAATAAAGCAACTTATTTTCTAACACGTTATTATTCCTTAGTTTTATTATTATTATTTTTATTATTATTTTTATTTATTTATTTATTTATTTATTTATTTATTTATTTATTATTATTATTTTTTTTCAATAAGCCTAATGTCCTTATTTAGTGGACTACTACATATCTATCATTCGTCAAACAAAATTAAAGATTTGGGTGTAGAAGTTAAGATCCAAGCTCTCCTTCAGTTCTTTTTTTTATCAATTTTACACGGGAGGCCTTACCAATTTCGCCAAAGACAGACAAAGCTGGAGCCCCCACCCTCGACTGGGTACAAACTTTAAAATACCGGTATGAATATTTTGTTTATCCTGAGATTTATCTTCTATCGAACAATGTTATCAACTAACGATATGCTCTCCGAAGGGTTCAAACAAGGATCGATGAATTTTTTTTATTGCCAAACTTCAAATAAGGTACATGTTGAAAAGGATTTAAATTACACACACACACACACACACACACACACACACAAAGACATTTATAATAAACATTGAAATGAATGAAACAAATCTACAATGTACAGAACCTAACAAAGTGCATCGTGAACACTGATACAACGGAGAAACGACTACTTTTTTTGCGGTATCAAAATTAATGAATATTGAGTGACTAGTTCGTCTCAAACATATTTGTCCAATTTCCCCATATTTTTTTAAAGTTTGTGAACTTTTGGTTATTAGTGCAATAAATAAATGTATCTATATACTAAACTGATCGATGTAGTTGCTTGGGGTACATGTATACCTGTGATGTCATTGCAAATAAATAAGTAAATAAATGAATAGATAAGGTAAAAATAATGATAGAATAATAATAATAATAATAATAATAATAATAATAATAATAAACTAAATTAGAATAACAAAATTATAAAACAAACAAATAATTTTAATTTTAAAAAAATAGAAGAAAAAAGAACAAAAGAAAATAAGTAATTAAAATTGCACAAAATACTTAATGAAATAAAATAATATATTTTTGCATGATCCGGTCACTGACTAGGAAAGACTTAATAATGGGGTTCATAGTGGTGCATGAATGAAAAGTAATAAAATAGTAAGAGAAGTGCGAGGAACAAACACGACACATGTACAGGAATGATAAAAAGTCGAGTGTATTGTGGTTTACTGAAGAGTAACGAGACATGGCACACTGCAAAATTATCTTCTTTCAAAAGAAAATAATAGATATTTGGTTCTAATAGCTTAACCTTGACCAATAGTTCACCCGTTAAGTAAGGTTGAATATGATTACTTACTTAATCATTCAATAACTTTTACGATGAGGCCTAACATACCTCCAATAAATGCATAATCATATAAAACGATACATCTTTAAAAACACGCACACACATACTGTAGTACCAACGTCAGCAACACCAACAGCCAAGTAAAAGTAAGAAGACATTTAATAATTCACAAAGTTTGTAAACCGTGAGTCATCAGGACGTCTGAGAAGCAGCCGACCACAGCCCAATCTTAACATGCTTTCACCCAACATCCCGCCGCGGGCTTTTGTGTATCGTCTCCACTGCAGTCGCTTGGATGACAATTTATGAATTCCTTGTTGATTATGTTGTTTAATGCACTATTTCTCCAAACCATTCCGCAAACGCGCGCATCTCAATGAACTCGCTGTACCTGAGAGTGGCGAGGGGTTTTGGTAGCAGGTATAAGCCGAGGGGATTACTATTGACCACTGAACCAATACTGAGAACCAGTTACACGTACTATCAAGTAGCCGAGACGCTGTCTCAGCTATAGTTATTTACTTTATTTTCTNTTGTTGTCGTTGGAGCAGTCGTTGTACTAGTTGTTGGAGCTGTAGTTGTACTGGTTGTTGTTGTTGGAACAGTAGTGCTACTTGTTGTTGGAGCAGTTGTGCTGCTTATTGTTGTACTTGTTGTTGTCGCTGGAGCAGCTGTTGTGCTAGTTGTTGGAACTGTGGTTGTACTGGTTGTTGTTGGTGGAGCAGCTGTTGTACTAGTTGTTGGAACTGTGGTTGTACTGGTTGTTGTTGGAGGAGCAGTTGTGGTAGTAGTCGTTCCTGTTGTCGTTGTTGTTTGAGCAGCTATGGTACTGATTGTTGTTGTCGGAGCAACTGTTTTATTTGTAGTTGTTGTTGGAACAGCAGTTGTACTACTTGTTGTTGTTGATAGAGTTGTTGATTGTGTAGAAGTTGTGCTGCTGACTGTAGTTGGTAAATTTGTCGCACCGGTTGCTGCTGGCGCAGTTGTAGTTTTGGTCGTTGAAGGAGCTGAAGACATCGTTACGCTGCTTGTTGTTGTTGGCATTGTGGTGGTTCTTGTTGTCTTGTTGTTGGATGCAGCAGTAGAGGCCGCTGTGGGAGTGGTAGCAGGCGTTGTGGAGCCCATTGCAGTTGAAGATGGGGTAACTGAGCCACCCGTTGTAAAGATGCTGTCGGTTGCTCCTTTCGTAGAAATAGCATTATTTACACTGTGGTTGGCGGGAGCTGTGGTCGATATTGAAGTGTTCGTAGACAACGGAGTATCTGAAAGAAAAGAGACCATCAAATATTCTCACAAAATCTAAAACTGTTTCTGTGTAGAAATGTAACTTAAATTGACTCCCAATGAACTTAAGACAACCAAGCTCAGGTTTCAGCACTTCCTGTTATTCTACAGGTACTTGACCAATGCAAACTCGCCAAAGGGGATATTTCTAACGTGTTGACTTTAACAACAATATTGCGCCCCGACCTCATTACCTTTGTTGTTACAGAGCTTTATAGAAAAGGGTGTGTCTCTCTACTGTTAAATCACAAGCAATGGTTTGCTATAGCAGGAACGATGCAGGGTTGACGGGGTGACCGAATTTTCTATTCATGTAAACTAGAATGAAAACTCAATTATTTTGTAAATCAGGCTGCATTACCCCGTTTGTTGCATAAGAGATACAAGTCGATACCCCCCCTCCCGCCATCCCCAAGTAAACAAGTAAAAGTACCTGATATTTCCACCCGAACTTTGCAAGAAGACATGGCGGTATAAACGTTGCGGGAGACATTATGTTATTAAAAGGAGTATAAAACAGCGAATTTAAGTTCAGGGATAGGGCGAGTAACGATTCATGCGTAGGAAAAGATTTTTTTCAAGAAAAATGTTTTTCCAACGCAAGCATGTATTTAACTGTTGCGTTTGCAGCATTAAGGCACAAAAATATGTATTATTGATATGTATTATTACTTGTTAGATAATTAGGATCTTCTCCAGTTATAAGTTAGAGCGCGTACGAGTCTGTTTTTGTTGCATGCAGTCATATCAATGACAAAGTACGAGAAACTGGTCGATGTTAAATCTTCCAAGTACCATTTTCAAGACAGTGTCTGGGATGGAGACCTAGGAACAAAGAGTAGTTAGGCGAATTCCTGTGATTCTACCAATTAAGTCTTTATTATGACAAACATGGCGATGTCCCTTTCACAATCCACAGATTAATGACAGTGTTATTGTGTATTTAAACTATCAAGCAGGCAATATTTACAGTGCATGATCATGAATTCCTCTCTCTCATTTCTACCCATTAACATCTCTCTCCTTCTCGTCATCTTTCTCCTTCTCGTCAATAATGTCAATAATGTTTAGTGAAGGTAAAATTTATGTCCTATCTAATGCACAAAACATCAGTTATCGGACAACGCTAAATCTTATCATTATAACGAATGAGTAGCTTATTCTCCTTATATAGTCTGGATTTTGTAACGTGACCTTCACAGTCGTGAACAGGAAACTCACCCTCTCTCTGAGATGTTCGATACTTGATGTAAAAGGTTTGCTGAAATCTCCCTTACACTATATACCTGCGTGAACCCATATTGCAAAATTGTTCAACACTTCTTCATTTGTATCTTTCTGATATGGATTACGTTTGACGGAAATCGGCGATAAGCTGTAAGAGGTGGATCTGAAGAGCGAGGTGATACCAAATGTCTCAAGAAACATCCATTAATATGGATATGGTTTGCATGGGGTTTTGAACCAGACTGACTAAATTCACTAAGCTTCGACGCGACTATTTAAGTGGCCTTGATCTGCGCCTAGTTGAATTGACATTAAACCTTAACCATGGGTTCGTCTGGGTTTGCAAGAATTCCAGAGATTTCATGATAGAAATTGAGAACTGTTGAAGACGAGCACCACTTGATTTATAATCATTCCCAAAAACTTTAATCTAACAATAAAAAATCAATAAAAGCATATCTTTAATTCACTTACAAATTCGTATTACCCTTAATCGGCCCACCCATATTTCTTTAACTGTGCTATGTAGCATTCTTCCCTTCAACTTTGACCTTCGAGCATTTTTCACAAAAAGTACAATGTTTTTATTTGATCTAGGTGTTAGTTCTGCCTTTCATGTTTATTCAACGATTTATGAATGCAAGCCCCGGCGTACTTATGCACGGTTGGCGTACATTGATCAGCACTGATCCGATTAATTGTCCACCTTTTAAAAATGGAACTCGACTGTAATTATTGGCGAAAGTGCATTATGAACTTGGCTTTGTGTCCAAGGTATCCCCTCATGCCGTGCCAAAGTGAAGTCCACTCCTTCATTTCTTTAATATATGAAACGGTGCCCAAGATTCGGTACAAGGAAATCGCCGTACAGCCTAATCATGGCACCTTCTACACCTGTATGATATACTAGTCTTGATAAAATATTGATAATAATTATATAAGACCTTTTATTTATACCTAAACCCTGTTCCACAAAGGGGCGCAAATCAAAAGATTGCATTTCCTTTTAAATTGAAAATTGTACTCTATGTTGACCATGGATATATAGATTCAGACGTAACTTAAATAAAGCAACTTATTTTCTAACACGTTATTATTCCTTAGTTTTATTATTATTTTTTTAATTTTTTTTATATTTTGAATAAGCCTAATATCCTTATTTAGTGGACTACTACATATCTATCATTCGTCAAACAAAATTAAAGATTTTGGTGTAGAAGTTAAGATCCAAGCTCTCCTTCAGTTCTTTTTTTTTATCAATTTTACACGGGAGGCCTTACCAATTTCGCCAAAGACAGACAAAGCTGGAGCCCCCACCCTCGACTGGGTACAAACTTTAAAATACCGGTATGAATATTTTGTTTATCCTGAGTTTTATCTTCTATCAAACAATGTTATCAACTAACGATATGCTCTCCGAAGGGTTTAAACAAGGATCGATGAATATTTTTTTATTGCCAAACTTCAAATAAGGTACATGTTGAAAAGGATTTAAATTACACACACACACACACACACACACACACACACACACACAAAGACATTTATAATAAACATTGAAATGAATGAAACAAATCTACAATGTACAGAACCTAACAAAGTGCATCGTGAACACTGATACAACGGAGAAACGACTACTTTTTTTGCGGTATCAAAATTAATGAATATTGAGTGACTAGTTCGTCTCAAACATATTTGTCCAATTTCCCCATATTTTTTTCAAAGTTTGTGAACTTTTGGTTATTAGTGCAATAAATAAATGTATCTATATACTAAACTGATCGATGTAGTTGCTTGGGGTACATGTATACTTGTGATGTCATTGCAAATAAATAAGTAAATATATGAATAGATAAAGTAAAAATAAAAATAATAATAATAATAATAAACTAAATAAGAATAACAAAATTATAAAACAAACAAATAATTTTAATTTAAAAAAATAGAAGAAAAAAGAACAGAAGAAAATAAGTAATTAAAATTGCACAAAATACTTAATGAAATAAAATAATATATTTTTGCATGATCCGGTCACTGACTAGAAAAGATGTAATAATGGGGTTCATAGTGGTGCATGAATGAAAAGTAATAAAATAGTAAGAGAAGTGCGAGGAACAAACACGACACATGTACAGGAATGATAAAAAGTTGAGTGTATTGTGGTTTACTGAAGAGTAACGAGACATGGCACACTGCAAAATTATCTTCTTTCAAAAGAAAATAATAGATATTTGGTTCTAATAGCTTAACCTTGACCAATAGTTCACCCGTTAAGTAAGGTTGAATATGATTATTTCCTTAATCATTCAATGACCTTTATTACGATGAGGCCTAACATACCTCCAATAAATGCATAATCATATAATTTAACGATACATCTTTAAAACACGCACACACATACTGTAGTACCAACGTCAGCAACACCAACAGCCAAGTAAAAGTAAGAAGACATTTAATAATTCACAAAGTTTGTAAACCGTGAGTCATCAGGACGTCTGAGAAGCAGCCGACCACAGCCCAATCTTAACATGCTTTCACCCAACATCCCGCCGCGGGCTTTTGTGTATCGTCTCCACTGCAGTCGCTTGGATGACAATTTATGAATTCCTTGTTGATTATGTTATTTAATGCACTATTTCTCCAAACCATTCAGCAAACGCGCGCATCTCAATGAACTCGCTGTACCTGAGAGTGGCGAGGGGTTTTGGTAGCAGGTATAAGCCGAGGGGATTACTATGACCACTGAACCAATACTGAGAACCAGTTACACGTACTATCAAGTAGCCGAGACGCTGTCTCAGCTATAGTTATTTACTTTATTTCCTTTGTTCGGTATCGAAGTTTTCTGAAGTTTTTCTACACCGGCTAAACCGAAAAAAGTAAAGTCTGCAGTCTTTCACGTTTCACGTTGTTGTTTCATATTTTTTAAACCTTTTTATATCAAAGTTACAACAAAAATAAATCGTCTTTAGCACCATAGGACCTTAAGTTAATGAACCTTTTGGGAGATAACGGTTGACACCGATTTTCAGTAAGGTCCACCAATTTACTATTAATACATTTTTGATATAAATTTCTTGAACTCCAAAGGTATTGCTGGTCCACAAGCACGTTTTGTCTAATCCAAGAATGTTTAGATAAAAGATATCGACCGAATGGACATACCTTCAAGTGCCGTAAAAATTTATACCTTGTGATTCACTTGATTCTTTTAAGCTGAAAGACACTCCCTTTTTCATATTTTTACTTTTACAAGCGTGTACATGTGGATAGGGGGAGGGGGACTACAATAGTATGCCCATTGAACACTAGAAGTATATATGTCTTAAAACAAATATTCATCCTTGTCAAATATACATGCGACAATCCTTTTCCTCCTATCATACCCGTTATCGCAATAGGTCCGTATGTTGATTTACTCAATGCTTTACCCATCGATTCTGTCACAATATGTATGAGATGTGTATATTGACATTAGCTTCTACATGTTATGCAGACTTTGAAGTTACTGGGGCCGGTCCTTCCACAAGTCTTGTGACAATATTCTCGTGACTCTGATAGTCAAATTCCTCACTATCAACATATACACAGATTACACTCTGAATAAATACAGCACACATATTTGATATAGACTCAATACTTCTGTGTATCAGGACTAAATATATCGTAACATTTGTACGATTATTCAAATTTAGACATTCTACAGCACTGAAAGCAATCAGGTTCGTCTTTGGTGTTAAGCTTATTGATAATAGCGCGATTAATTCAGATTAAATGAGGAAGACGTCTTACAGAACTGAGACTTCCTTGTAAGTGATTTTTCACTTTCAGTTTGAGCAGAAATAACTTGAAAATCAATTTTGTCACTTCAAAAACAGATCGGCTAAATTTCCCTAACTTACATATACTTACAATGGTGCAAAAGAACTGTGTTTGTATGTGTCACCCAATAGTGGAAAATAAAATATCTTCTACGTTTTATATAACTACAAATGATTGATTTTTGTAAGGAAATTAGGTCACAGCTCCCTCGAAAAGAAAAGCACCAATTTATGTCACGGTTACATGTAATGTCAACAAATAAAAAAATGAATAAAGAATATTTCAGTTTATAACTTATAGGGCAAATACATTATCGTCGGTGCAACCGTGTACGTGATATTTCTAGCAGTGTCTACATTTTGGTGTGGTGCAAATTGACAAAAAAAAGGAAAGAAAACTGGTTCATTATTAATGGTCTTTAGCAAGGTACGAGAGCACTTCTTAGAATAGGACGCTCGCAGTGGAACATTTTGGTCACCTGAGATGGCCCTGTTACCTGATGCAGCCTCCAACCGTTTTGGCGTGTTTTTTTTTACAGTACAATAGCTAAAAAGTTCATGACAAGAAGAGGTCAAGGAAATACAATGCTGTAGCCGCCATTGCCTTTTACAAAAGATATTACGCATTCGCATCACATGTAGGCCAGTCATTGGCTGCCACAGTGTATTCATATCTTTTTAGAGTAAAATTCCTTTGACGACATGCCATGATAATCAGGTAGCTGTTAAACGGGTGATAAAAAGCTAAATTATTTCAACTGATAGAATCATAAAAACATTGACAAATGTGTGAATTTCCAACCCCGTTATTGCTACTGGTTTACATTAGGTTTACATTAGGGCCTAACGTGTACGTGACTCGGACGCAGTGAGACATGTAATTATGAAATGGCCCCACCCATGACCCCCTTTGTTCTCCACATCCCAGGTATACGAGGCCGCTAGAATGGAGTCAGCCCAATTTTCTATGCCTTCCATTGATCAGCAGGTACTAGTAGGACTTATCAATATGTTAAGGGGTGTTCGCATAGTCAATATCTCTAAAGAGAGAATGTCATTGCCAGGTCGTAGGAACGCTGAGTGGATGAGGTGTTTGGCATATATCTAAGTATATACAGGCGTTATCCACAAATGATAATCTTTTACGGCTACGGCTCATTGCTTAGAAAATAAGGATGTTAAAACTTCGATATCGGATGAAAATGGTGCTTCTTTCCACCAAACAAAGATACTAAAACCACTAACATTTTCGAGTTATAAATAATTTAATTGCTTGTGGGATAATGTTTTAGCAAGGAACACCCTATGTATGACAACTTATCCAATCATTCCAATGAATGAACACTTTTCAACGTAAAAAAATCACTTGCAAGTCATTCAATCACAAGGAGCTCCAAATGTCCCTAGGTTAAGTAAAAAAAGTTCAAGATGTTTTAATGATTTTCGCCAAATTCAATTAAAATAGTGAACGTAGACTCACCTTGCGCCATGCACGTGTTAAATCCAAAGAATAGGATGACGGAGATCAGACACTGCACGTGGATGGCATACATCTTGAAGTTTATATATTGGAGTACTCGATATATCCAATGTGAACAAATGAATGAGGATCATGAAAGATCAGTAGGAAATGCGACAATCCACACTGTGTAATGTTCAATGCGTCCAATTCATTGACAGCTGATAAAGAGGTCCAAGCGTTAGATCACCTCGTGCTGTCACTGTATCTTGTTATCTAATGGCTCATGGGTGAACGGGCACTAACCCCTCCTTCTACTGGGAAATGGCGGGACAACCAATTACACCGAACTGGTCCGATATCTCCCTGATAATGTTTTCTTCTTAGCTAACTATATGTCGGCCACGCCCCGTTAGTTTCGGAACGCTGGCACAGTTGCTCATGAGCGCGTGGGATGGGCAGCTCCCTTTGGCTGTAGACCTCGAGTTACTCACCGGCAGCGTCCTTCAATGAAGCAGCCTGTGTAACTTTTGGTTTAGCCGTTGCCTCAGTATGTGTCATGCATTGTACGGGCGTCCGTTTTACCTTCCATTCAACAATAAGCCGCGAACAAACAGAAAAGAAAGGACTACAAACTACCTGGCTCGGGCGAGTTTATTTAGATCAATAGGTACGAGAAGAGAACGAATGCGATGTGTGAAAGGGGGTAAAAGTGTTTGGAATAAACATATTGTGCTGAAGTACGTTAAGTGAGAAGTTAAACAAAACGACAAAAGTTTTTTTTAAGTTGTCACCTGAAAAGTAATGGGGAGGGGGAATTCAGGACAACTACGATGGGTTCCGCCTGTTTTTTCCACTTGTATGCACTGGAAAGCAAACCCACACAAAAGTCAGTGCAGAGGGTCGTTGCAGGGAATAATTGTGTAATTTTACATGTTTCAGCAGGTAGCAGAAACATCATGTATGTATTACTGTCACGATGGCTTGAACTTTATGACACGAGGTAATGCGGTTTTTGAAGAATAATTGATAAATTCATTACGAAGCCTCGTACCCAACTATTTTGTTCTTCCGTGCATGATTTTATATTTTGCTGTTTTTCCACAAAACTAATGTCCGTTCAATATGACAGAAATCTTATCGAATTTCGTTTTATTTTGATATAAAACTCACCACCTTTTATGCATATATATCAATATTCGCTAGAATGCAAATAAAGATAATGTTCCATATCATTTGAACTTGCAAACCAAGACTTGACGCGCAGGCTTCAGTGTAAGGACACTAGCTAAGTTACATTACTGAGAAGTACTGTACATGTGTAAGACATGTGTAAGACAAATAGCCAGTATCAAAACTGATCATATGATTGGAAAAATGTACTAAAGGTAGTAAGAAATACACTTGCAAATTAAACCTGTCTAATTAAGACAGCACACTGAAGGTTAGTTTACAGTTCACGCTTAATGGCACTTTCGCATTTTAAATTCTTGTAGGCCCTACACGTAGCTGTCAAAAATAGATTGGACTTATAGGGCCTACTTTGAAAGCGCGTTGGTATGGAAAATTAGGGAGGTAATAATCGTTGTTAATTTCAAACTTTTGTTTTAGAATGATACAGACGGTAGTAAAAGTATATTTAAACAAAACCTACGTGTTTACAATACAAATATTTGTTTATACTTTAGGTTTCAAGGGTGGTGCCCTCGAGGTCATATACGTCTGATTTACATTCATTCATGAATCATAATCTGGTTACGTATTAATCAGGCTTATGTCAATTTCATAGTCCACTTGTCTATAAGCCGAACTTCAAATTGAGTAATATTATACGCTTTGACAATGATAAGTAAAGTGGACTCTTGAATTACTGAATTGCCGTTTGAATCCAGTCATGTGAAGTCGTTGCAGCGTACCTGTAGGAGGTCTATAGCGGCTCGTACAACTGTGGGACGGCAACCAGTGAAAGATCACGCCTCGCCCTATCCTTCGTACCTGTAATGAGCTACCCACTGATATCAGGGACTCATTAAAAAAGCATTAAAATCTAAGTGTCAGCGATACAATAATTTAGTTTGTAACAGACAACTAGCGCACCCTGTGGTCAGAGAGTAGGGGGTGTGTCCTACGAGCTATATTGGCTTTTCTGACTCCTAGAGATGTGTACACAATATGTAGGCCCTACCTATATATAAAAGCTAATAGTAAAGGATCCGTGAGGCGCGACCCCCTCCCGAGTATATGTCACCGACTGAGTACATCTTATCAGCAGGAAAATGCCACGTTGAAGCAAGCAAGCAAGTTGGATATTTGTTGGATGAAAAAGTCTGGGGAAACCAAATATGAATATAGGCCTGTAAGGGTAAACTGTATGATAAAAGCTTGCAAATTAGTCCAGTTATCAAAACCAAGTCTAATTTTAAATCTCTGCATAGGACTTCTTAGTTGACTTTTGCATAACTTAATTTTTCGTTGGTGAGTAAAATATTGCAAATTAACATTAAAAGGATTGACTGCTGCTTCTTTAGATGAACACCGTAACCGTTAATCGCTGGACCTGCCCCAGTGGTGACATTCCATTGACCAGCTTTTAATTGACCTTTTTAGTGACCCCCTAGTGGCTAAAAGAACAATTTATTTCTGTATGAAATTGTTCTGAAAAGAAATTGTTCTTTTCTGTACAAGATTATATTTTCACTTCTTTGTAAAGTGTTAAAAAATTTCAAAAATATGGAAATTAATAAATTGTGAAAAACTTAGTAGAGAAGAAAAAATAGGGAACATACAGACTTGACATTTAATATGGAATATTTCAGTTTCGAATGTATGCCTAGGTGAAAATGCGTTTTTTTTTTCACAAACTCCGATCTCATATTAGATATGTGAATGGAGAAGTGTGTAGTCAGGTGTGTCGCTACCAATTAACTGATTACCAGGTTTGTTGCGCTGCTGCATTATGTAATATGCAGTGATTTAATTGGGTAGTGATCCTTTGGGCAGGTCAAAGCTTGGCTTTGGCAAAGCATGGTTCTGTCAAAAAAGTATCCATATGTCGGCAACTACTGCATAGAAGAATTTGAAATTTTGCATGCAAGCGGTCGGGTTTGCAGTGTGTAAAATGAGCTATGCAGAGCTTTACAAATTTGTTAATCTGTGGCAGAATGGCGCGAAAAAGACAGGCATTGCCAGACAGGTAATTGCCCCAAACGAAACGGTCCGCACAGTTTTACAGAGTAGTGCCCAGACTGATGTACCTACACAGAGGCCACACCCAATGTATTGAAATCTTACCACCAGGGTATAGGACCCACTGTCTTTCGGGATATGCTGTTGCAACTAAACAAAACCCACCAAGTCCGTTCAGAATGAGGGGTAAATCACCACCAAAACGCATTTTTCAAGGCCCTTAGCGAACACCAAACTGGTTTTAGCAGGTTAGAATATCAGACGACCTCCGAGGAACCCACTGTAAACAGCAAAACATCGTTGTATGCTTCTCTATTGAATTGGGGACCTTGACTGTTTCTGAGTTGAACACTGAAATCTCGTGGCTTTCTTTATTGAGGTCAGATTTCACCTGTACCGCTCAACAGTCAAAACAGAGTTTACAGACATCCAGAAGAGGCCAACGACGAAGTGTGTGCCGCGACTAAAGTGACTAAGGTCATTAACGGCGTCAGTATTTGGAGTGGATACCACATTGGTGCCAAAACACCAATGGTAGTCATCGACGAAAACCTGAACCAGATCAAATAAAGAAATAATCTGGGAACCACCTGGCTATCATTTGATAGGGGTCAACTTAGGAACAATTTTAGGTTGCACGGTGAGATTGCCAGTTCACACAGAGCACTTTAAATAGCAGTTTACTTACAGAACCAAGGGAATGAGCAGCTACCTTGGTCATCAAAATCGCCATATTTGAACCACATAGACAATATGTGGGTGGGCCATTACTCTCTGAATCAATGGCCTACATGTCCTACAACAAAACTGGACCAAATTGGGCAGATTTTGACCGATGCCTGGAATGTTATTCCAGATTGAACTTTAAAAACCTATCCCAAGGAATGCCTTGCCACTTGAGAGCGCAGGTAGCAGCCAGAAGAAGTCAGGCGTAACAGCGACCGTTACTGTGACTATACACTGAAATGAGGGTCCTTTGTGGAGCGCTTAACTCTTTTACAGACAATAATTTGGAAAATATGGAGGTCCAAAATATCCCTTTTAATGGTTGTCGTATGACATAGAATAGGCAATGTGTTTTTGTTTGCTTCTCTGGCGAATTCCATTAATGAACATATGTCACAATGACATCAGAGAGATAATTAAAAGTTATTAAAACACGATTTTAATACTTATTTTCATTTATCAGTCTGCACATAGGAAAAAAACTGATGAAAACTGATTTGGAAAAATATTCCATATTTAATGTCAAGTCTGTATATTTATGAACAGATATGTATAAAAAGATGATGGTTGCTAAATATATCTTTTACCTGTATAAATGAAGAGAAGAAAAAAAACCCTATAATATGACATTTTTGATCAATGTTGTTTTATTTAAACTTGTACCGGTACATTCTTTGAAATGGTGAATAAATTTTATTTAAAATTCTTTTCTGTATAACAGTTATTAGACTTTTTCACAAATTTGGCAGGAATTGTAACTCCTTGATTTAATTGAGGATGGTTTGCTCTTGAGATATCATGGCTGCGTTGAAAATGATTTTATTTAAACTTGTACCGGTACATACTTTGAAATGGTGAATAAATTTTAAGTAAAATTATTTTCTGTATAACAGTTATTAGACTTTTTCACAAATTTGGCAGGAATTGTAACTCCTTGATTTAATTGAGGATGGTTTGCTCTTGATATATCATGGCTGCGTTGAAAATTATTTTAAGGTAGGACTGCAGGTTAGTTTTTTTCTTAAATTAAAGGTCTTAGCGTTTTTATTCCTGTTGCATTCATTCCGTGTATCTTCAAAACGTAATTATGCTTGAAACACAGCTCCAAGTTCATTGCATAACGTATACGTAATATTGGGATTTTGGGGGCAGAAACATCATTTTCAGTTTCCTGATTTTCTCAGGCACCTGGACAGCTTTAAACACTTGAACAAAGTTCTACAAAAGGGGTTCGGGCATTTTTCTTTAAAGACATACTGTTGATTTTATCTATAAAAACGTGATTTTAGCCCAATTTGGGTACATTCCCCCCTTAACTCACTATAATATTCGAAATCCTTGAATTATGGCTTGCCTGTCATTATACCAGGGGCACTGTAAAAAAATCCTTGTAATTTTGGTGAAAAAAAACACGTCATGTTGGTTGTAGTTTGTACTTAGAGGCTTACTCCGTGTGCTCTAAGCACGGACAAAATTCCCTCTACCAGGGCCACAGATTGATTTTTTGGTAGATATTCACGTCTCCAGCTAATTGTGTACACTTTTCCGTACAGTGTCAAGAATCAGCCAGAAACATGTATGAATATCTCGTAAAAAGTCAACCCGTGGCCCTGGTAAAAAGTATGGACAAAGCCTTGACAGTAATTTCCTTTGCGGTGGATGTTGTATTAATGTTATGTTTTAGACAAGGCATATTACAATTAGGCTAACAATGATGAAAATTATAGTAAAAACGAAACTTTTGTGCCATGTACATCCTTTGTCAGATTGACTGTTTAATATATAAATACGTCGTTTTGCATGACATTTTTCTCTCAATTGTAACACTTCTTTAAAATGTTTTGAAATGAAATAGGCACCTTTTACATTCGGATTGTGTGCTAAACTAAACAATGTTTAGAATGGGTTTGTAGTTCAGCATCGCTTAACTTCGAGTTTGCACAATCAAAATATTTTGAACTTTATAGGTGGTATTTAGCTACCATAAACTGATTTCAGGTAAAAGAAACCCCAGTTCAACAATTGGAATTCAAGTCGCTAAAAAGTTTACTATAAAAGAGAGATGTTTTTCCTCATATTTCAGTTAACTTGAAGCGTATTGATGATGCGGCTCACGCGCGTTTAGACTGGGCACCAAAGTTGTTTTTACACAAGGACGTTTATCAAATTTTGGTTTTCAGAAAAGATTGGAAGTCCCCGCTCCTGACTCATGTGGCATATCCTCACTGGAAAAAATAAAGAATAATACTATCATCAATGATATTGATAAGTTGGAACTGTCAAAATAACATCAGAGCAACGATTTGTTTTAAAAATAGCTTTCTAGCAGCAGAGACCGAGCCCTCAGTTGCCACGGGACGTGTTCATCGTGTGAGGTCAAACGTGCGCTGGGTGTGACAATCAAGCTGAGAGCGCCAGGGGGTTTCACCTGACACATTTAGAGCCTACTGTCAATCCGCCAGCTTCACACTGAAGGTGTTCTTGGTGAAAATTGTAAGAAGGAAGACCAGGTTCTAAAGCACACAGTGAAGGGGAGGGAAGAGAGGTTTTCATTACAAGGCAAAACGTTGGGTTTAGCTCTCGATTTTTCGGGTGTTGACTTGGAGAGGTATCGGAGAGTTCTGTCCCCAATCTCCACGACTTACAATGTCTCAAAAATAGACCTACTCTTTTTACCCACAATGTTAGCACGAAAATTCATGCGTTATGTGCACAGACAGTACATATCAGAATCGTCAATAGGAGTGCTAACGCATGAATTTTCGTGCTACTACATTGCTAGCGTTCCAATAGTTCTCTTTTAGGTCCAAAAATAAAGGGAAATATTGAAGAGTATTTTAAAAAATAAAAGTCACTATTTGTGTATCATAAATATTCCACCATAGGTTATATCTTTCCCAGTTATTTACAGAAATATATAATATGTCCTTTCACTCTCGACGAGTTCAACGAGTATGGAAAACTGCCATTATTGTACCAGTAGGCCTACCTAAATGATTCGTCCTGTGGCAGTGGCGCCGAGTCCTCCTATGAAGATCTTCAGGAAACTGCTGTTGGCATACAACAGCACCATCGTACATGTACCAAAAACACTTGATCCGTTTTAATTCGATTTCTTTATATATATATATATATATATATATATATATATATATATATATATATATATATATATATACCTACCAGACGCATCTCTCATTCGAAACTGACTAAAATTATTATTATTATATGGGCGTATATACAAGGACCGGTACATGTACACCTTTATATTTACACATCATTGTGGCAAGTAAAACTTCTGATGGACTAGGAAAAAGAAAGGGGTACCCGCCCAGCAGCCTTCGGACTTGTCTGGCCAAAAAAGTTGTAACACTTCTTCACAAAATTAGGTAAAATTAGCTTGGACATAAAGAAATTCGTAGTTTTGTATAAGGAAGAGCTGAGCCCAGCACAGCATGCTGTTAGAGGCGTACATGGTCGTGTACTTTGTGAATGAGCCCGCGCCAAAAATTAAAATTGATCATTTGCACGAAGAATAAGTACATGTAGATAATTTTAAAAATCGACTTACTGTACATTAATGAAATTTATTCATAAGGATTTGCTTGGCTGCGCCGCAGGCAACAACGCTTTACTTGCGGTAAATCTACTAAATTCTACGAAGACATATTTTGGATAGAGACGGCATCATGGAATGTTTCGTAAGTTTGGTCGACCCACATCCACTGAAAACGAGCCGCCTTCATCACGTACCTGTTGACGATAAGGTCACATGATCATAACATGGAGAGTTAGCTTGCAGACCAGATCGGCGTGTCCTAAGCTCAAAGGCCACACTCACATTGATAGTAGCGTGGCTGCGTTCTTCAATGCACCTGCGTCCCCTCACAGATAAACAGGTAGTCGAACAGCGCAGAAATGGAGGCCTACGTCAATCTCATCCAGACGTACAGAGGAAGGGACAAAATGATTCGCCTGTGCACGTATGCAGCCACATTCTTGAGTGGTGCCTCTCGTGGAAAATTGGCAGAAAAGTTTGGGGCCCTCGCAATCCCACTCGGGAAATGTCGAGTAGTCCTGAGGCTCTTTGACGATCTCCCTATGATACTCTATGCAAGGAAACTAGGGCTGATGAAGCAAGTAAGGTCAACTGAACACACCTGTATAAATTACCTTTCATCTGCATTTCTTTATTGCACCAGACCGCACGCTACAGCCGCTTTGGTGAATGCATATATTTGTTTGTGTTATATAAGATAAGGGTCATATTACATAAAACCCATACCCTGTATGTTCCTCTATGGTATAGTATGCTATCACTGAATCACAGTTGATTTCACAGACTAATACAGACCATATGTTTTAATTTTACCAGAAGTACTGTACACATGTACAGGTAGTTGTAGTCCAAGGCTAACATCTGTCTTAATATATCTTTCCAGAGTTATGAATATGTCATGCACTTTATTTAACTTTTTCATTGTATGTAGTGTGCAATATTATGTGACTGTAAAATGATATGGCATGTAAAGTGAAGAAGTATTGAGTAAACAATGATAAATTGTAGGAATAAACACTTTCAGCAATAAAAAGTTGGGTGATTTTATTCCTACAGTATAAACGCACAGCACAAGGATTTTTTTTTTGGGGGGGGGGGCTATTTGAGTTTCTGACTCCTGCTAAACATACAGATAACTGGATAAGTATATTGTGCCACATGAGCAAATTCGTGTGCATATAAATGCACATATTAACAGACTGTATACATATGTATATGATGCTTTTATTGCATATTCAGTTTATTCAGAATGGTCAAAATATTTTTGAAATATGCATTTCACACATGTACACTGTAACACAGTTTTAAACATAGTTTGAACACTAAACAATTAATTCTGTCAGTGATTATTTGTATAGGGGACCAGTTTGTGAATCTAGGTCATTCTATGAATGTGTTCAGTTTTTGACCCAAGCAGGTATATGAATAGAATGTTGTTATGATGGATCATAGATAATTTCAAAACTTGAAGTCAAAATGTGGGGAATATAGGTCTTGATAAGAAGGTAAAAAATAAACATCCCTGCATCTCATCTGTACAAACACCTCATTTAACACAATATTTCATATTAATGGGCATGATTCATTATAACACAATGACATCCACTGTGTAGTAAGTATGTATGTTATAACAAATATATTATAATATGATTCCAGGAAAAAAACCTGTTGCTTCAGTTACTTGGAGTTGCCCAGAACATTGCCAATTTGTGCTACTTCCCAGTGGAGCACATAGCATTTGGAGGAGACCTGAAATTGTGGGATGTGAACTCTCCCAAGTGGTGGACGACAGGCATTGCAATATGGGCCACTTCACTTATTACAGGCATTCTCAGGTCAGGAGATGGAGAAGTATCATATCCAGTTGAAGGCTCATACAGTACACATTAGATCTTAACATAAAAATGTTTTTTATTTTTTTATTTGGAAATTTCAACAATCTTCCCCTAATCATAATACTTTGTCTTATCTGAGATTTGAGGAAATTAAGATCTGCAAATGCTCTCTGGAGTTCTAAATCAAATTTTCCTGTTGTCGGTTAAATTCACAAATCTTTACAGCCATAACTGGTACGTTAGTGTCTCAAAAATGAGAAATGTAAAGAATTGCATTTAAAAAGGGACAAATTTCCAAATTTCAGAAGTCTCATAAAGATTATTTTGCTGAGACAGGAGAGGCACAAGCTGGCCAGGGAACAAGGTCATGAGGGAAGGTAAGACCCCATGTGGCATCTTGCCTTATGTTGAACAAGGTCACAGGGGAAGGTAAGACCCCATGTGGCATCTTGCCTGATGTTGAACAAGGTCACAGGGGAAGGTAAAACCCCTGTGGTGTCTTGTGTGATGTTGAACAAGGTCACAGGGGAAGGTAAAACCCCCTGTGGTGCCTTGTGTGATGTTGAACAAGGTCATGAGGGAAGGTAAAACCCCCTGTGGTGTCTTGTGTGATGTTGAGCAAGGTCACAGGGGAAGGTAAGACCCCCTGTGGTGCCTTGTGTGATGTTGAACAAGGTCAAAGGGGAAGGTAAGATCCCGTGTGGTGTCTTGTGTATGTGATGTTGAACAAGGTCACAAGGAAAGATGAGACTTCATGTATCAGCTACAGGAGTAGACAGTAATGTGGCTTTTTTTAGGATAAGGAAAAACTATTTAGGTTAAAAGAATGGGAGTCTATGTACTTATTTTCATGCTGTGAAAGATGAACATATATGTAGTACCTGTTCATAAGGCACTAAAATAACAAGCTCCTGTTAAAAATCCTGTGCATTACTGTTGTTTAAATTATTATTGTCTAGTGACTACTTGTATCATTACCATTCTGAATCAGTGGTTACTTCCAGAGAGGACCCAGACCTGTCTTCCGTGCCAAAATTTTCAGTGAGGAAACTGAAGAAAGAAGAACTCGATGAAATCCTGGCCTTCTTCAAGAATAGTTTTGATCTTCTGAATGCTGTGAACTGGCTCCCCAAGGGATTCCTGTGGGCTGGGAAGTTCAGCACCATGCAGTCTGGACTCTGGGGATTGATTTCTACCAGCATAGGGCTGTATGAACTCTACTCACAGGCCAAGGAAAAGACCAGTTAAGATACGGTCTGAAGTAACATTATGATATGCAGTGTTGTATACGGTTTGTGTTGAAAAGCAAAAAGCAGACAGCTGATGCTGGAACTGATTCACTGGAGATGGGTCCAAGGATTTCCATCTGGACTGGAATACCAGTTTTAACAATGCATTTTATCTTGAATATTAGAGTTTAATATTATTAAATAAATTTATTATCTACAAGAAAAGATGCACACAAGCAGACTCATTTGGATTTAGAAGGCAATCTTAAAAGTATACATGTTTAAAGATTTCTCAAAGTCATATTTTTGCATCTTATCATCCTGCAAAACTATTTTTCTCTCTTAATATTTTCAGACCTAAGAATATTAAAAAAAAAAAAGAAAAGAAAAGCTCATGATATTGATGTTTCTTTCTGAAATGTCAGGAAAATATGTTGGCTTAAATGAATAATGATTAAGTTATTTAATTAGAAATGGCACAAAACACAGAAGCACAAGGAAAGGTAGAGTATTTCATGAGTAAGAGAAAATGTTTTTTTCCTAGAGGAAAATCTAGTACAGAATACCATCATGCAATGGTAACAGTGTCTGCTACTTGACTTATTTTATGAAAATCCTCAGCAATAAGCGGAATGTAAACAAAACTGGTTTCTTTGGTATCATTTTATGGATTTAATATATTAACCTGTGATGATGAATTTAGAGGAAAAGAATGTGCCAGACATATTAATTGTGAATTAATATAGTTAACTATACTTTTTGCATACTACGATTAATAGTATAGGAAATAAGTTACATTTGTTTAATGGAGACTGCGTATAAATTTGTAGCTACGTCTCTGAAAACTTGCAGCATGCTTTATTTTTTTAGATAATAATTTTTCTACTTTAACATATCATTGTTAAATAATGAGTTAAAAGTAAAAAAAAGAAGTGGATAAGGTAAACAAGTAATATTGCATTCAATATAGAGCACTTTTGTATGTGAAAGTTCTTAACGGTGATCTCCGAGGCAGTTTTGCAGTTCATATTAAATGGACTCTAGAAGTATGCATCAGTCTAGGTATATTTTGTATCAGAATAAAATTAATAACAAAATTTTACCAGAAAAATGCATTTTGAGTGTCATTTTGGAGAAATGAATTCTGAGTGGGCCTCAAGCAAATTTTGGAAAGGTGAGAAAACTTTTCAAATTGCATAAGATAGTAAATGCAAACCCCTGAGTGATTGATAAAATTGTAGCATGCCTGTATCCGTCATATAACCAAGACTAATGCTGCAAATTTATATATTGAATGGAAGATAGTTTGCCTTCGGTTAATTTTTTTTTTCCAAAAACGATTATGGCAGTTTGAAATAAGTTAATTCAACTGTAATTCACAAAAATCTATTCAGTAATTGATTAGTTTGAATTAAGTGAATGTATAAAATCAAACAAAAATATGTTTGCTTCAAAAAACTTTTATTGGCCAAAATAGAAATGTGAAAATAACGCTGAAAGAAAGAAAGGATGAATAAAGTTTAACAAAAATAATACAATTTTATATTAGTAAGTTCATTGTTGAATATTTTTTTGTTTTTTTTTTCATTAATAAATGAGTGCAGAAAAATAGCTCCTCACAAACTGTAAGGTTCAAGTTCATTTACCGAGGGACATTGCAAGGTTAGTTTATCCGTCATGATCCATCCGATTAGGTAAGCAACCATTTATTATACTACCGACCATATCACCATCAATTGCCATCTTAAACTGATGTTCCACTAAATGTTAATCATTATCTAAAATTCCTGATCAAATATAAAAACAATTTCTTGATCACATCTCTTTTCTGTAAGAACATCATTCTACAATATTCACTTTTCTTTTAAAAATAATAATAACCAGACTTATTTAACTTGTGCATCATATATACTCATCAACTAAATTGCCCCTGGAGAGAAAGAACAAGTGTAAAATCCTATGCACAAGTAAACTAGAGTTTCCACTTACTAGCTTCAATAATTTAAATAATCAATAGAATTTTGACATTATATAAAAAGACAGACTGATTGAAAAGAAATAGAACTTTCAGAACTGCATTGTTGAATGAAGAATAGGATAAAAGAGAACAAGTATATTAAGATCTTGAAGAAATGGTAAAATTTGAGAATTCAACATATTAAGATAAAACATGGGGCTTCTCTCAATTCAACAATTTGCTGTAAAATGCACTTCCAAAATAGTAAAATCTTTTTACTTGGTTAAATCCATCATCAATTATCCACCATTCCAACTACTGATCAATTTAAATCAATCAAAAGAATAAACCAATCATTATTCTAATTATAAACTTGATTAATACTTATAGTGCAAGTTAATAATGATAAAAAGTTACAAATTCCTAAAACCAAACTAACATTAAGTATATCCAATAATAATCTACCTTCTAGTAACTTTCACAACAGAACCGGAATGAAACAACTCCAAATGGAGTCTTATGCTCAACTCAGTGCGTGTTATACATATAATACTCTGTGACTGTGTGTAAATGGTATATAAATTTTAAATAAAACTGTAAAAATCAACAAAACATATTTAGTAGCCACACAAATGTGGTCCAAAGTTTGGTGAAGTGTAGCCTCCCTCAACAATAAAAATCATGAAAAAGAAAATGAGGATTTTCCACTCGTTGGAGTAAGAACCATAATATCTTTACATCAAATACTTGTTTCTTCAAGTTCTCCATTTCTCAAGGTATAAGAGGTTCTTGTGTCCTCATCCTCCAGTATTGGTGTCCACTTGTTGCACATTTCCCAACTGAACAAAGACAGGGAAACAACTCTTCCAATTTGACATCTTAGGAGTGGATTTATAACTGCTCTCCTGAAAACCCCCAAAATTAAATACATTTCATAATGTTAAAATTACAGCCGAGTCCAAACCTATTCCCATCACTTTTTACAAAGATCACATGGACAGGTTCAAATAAATTTTCTGCTCTTTATACTCTTACCTTGTGCAGGAATTAGACAAACTATTCATAAGTACTTCAAATCCAGAAATGATTTTGGGTTGCAAGAAAAAAGCCGAAAGAAAGGGCTAAGTGACTGTACAACAAAGGCATCTGCGGTCCATTATGGTGGAAAATGGACAACTGATTTCTGATTCAAATAAATAACTTAAAAAAAAGATGACTATATGTCAGCAAAGTCCACCTCAAGTTTATTCTAAATGAATGAAATATGACTAAGATGTACATAAACACACATTTTGATGACAATTCATCATACCTGGTACGTTCATGTGCAAGTCCCAGCAGCCACAGATGTGCCCTTGCTGTTTCTCATCAGAGGTTTGTGGTTCTTCAATGTGTCCAGGGAATGCTGCCATTGCCAACAGGAACGGCAGTAGTAGCGGAAACACTGCAGGTCACGACAGAAGTATGGCCCCTGCTGAATGTTACACGTGCTGCACATAGAATCTTCTAAGTAAGGATCAATCTGAACCTGAGGAAACAAAGTATTTCTGATCATAGATAAAATCACTATTTTCAAATACTGTGTTCAAAACAAAAGTACAAATTCATATTTTGTTAGCCTGAGGTTGTAAGAATGATTTTCAGTGTGCTTGGATATTCCCTATCTTCTCTACTGCAATGTCTCACAAGTTTACCATATTTCAAGAGGCAGAAATACACGTGCTTCCATGTTTGAATACTTGTGATAAAATTCAGGTGTATCTTATTTATATAAAATCTAAAGTCTTCACTAAAAGAAGATTTTAATTTTACTGTCACATTAATTAACAAGCTTACCTTTTTTGTAAACTTAGGGGTCTTGATTTCTACAAAAGCTGCCTGCACAGCCTTCATGTAACTTTTGTGGACACTGAAGGTCACTCGACCAGACCCTAACAATAATCAAATTCAACTGAATTAAACGCTTCAAAAATTGGTTAAAATCATGTCATGGGGGGAACCAATGCAAAATACCAAAGCCTTACTAAGGACAGAGAATGCAATATACAGAGAAGATAACAGTTAGTTACTGTCAGAACTTACCAATGGGATACTTGTATTTGTCTGTGTCTATCCCAGCATACACCACATTTCCAAACAGGTCATTCATAATTGCCGCCAGTGCCTCTGCATTCAACATCCCATGGAGAGCTCCAACAAACACTGTTTTATTTGGGTCCAGGCGCTGGGAGGGTTGGCGTACATAGTTGCTGTCACTGAGAACCCAGGGAATAACCTGCACCTATACGTAAATCCAATTAGTGATAGACATTATGTTCCTTTACTTTACAAAATTTCATCAAATAATTGTAAATCGAGATCATTAATTTGTGAAATCAGAACTTTGTGAGCTGTACCTTATCAACTGAACCGAATTATGTTTTGAAAAGGCTCCCATTGAGTATCTTTGTTACCCATGAAATTTTTTAAGTTCCAAGATACATAAATGTTTTTATTGTTTAGCACAATGCCTGAGGCAACCCATTTCATGAAATGGTCATAATACTCTGTGATTAACGGTTTTGAACTCGCATCCAATAAGATATGAATTAAGTTTTATTTACTTTGATTTGTGAATTGATGATTTTATTTCCAGTGAACAGCTAGATCACCCTCCCCCCATGGGACCCTCTGATTTTTCAATGTTCAGTCCAATCTTATAGTATATAACACACATTTTATATTTGATTTTCAATGAAAAACTACAGAACATGGTAAGGATTTTTTTTACAAGAAAATGGAAGGAAGTGTAAACAATGTATGCCAGAAAATGACTGACATCAACCTGAGAACATAATCCCTACCTCTTTACTCCTCATTCTGCGGCTCGAGATCTTGAAGTAGTACTCGCCTCCATTAGAATAATCATGAGTGCAGGACTGCAAAAGAGCCTTGACTGCCTTCTCATTCTCAAACAAGATATACACATATCCTGGGAACACAACACAGGGAATGTTCTGTTATGTGCATGTTAAATCTATACAAAAAATAATTTTGGTGGTATCATTTATGGTGAAAGACAACAAAACAAGATTGTAAGAAACAGAGCAACCAACAAACATAATTTCAAGACTGCTTTAATTGCTTAGTGATTTTTTTCAAATACTATGACAAAACTGCAGATGGATCCATTCTAATATAGATTATGTGCAGAAAATCTTGGAAGTAAAAAAGGTGACAAAACAGCCAAACTGTAATAAAGAAGCTTTCATTTCCCCTTGAAGTAAAGTTGTACGGTTATGTAAGACAGCATTGCCAAGATGTTCAGTGTGATATAAGGGATTTTTCTAGAAATTTACAAATTTTCCTGAAACCAGACTTATTAAGTGGAGACAGTCCTGACTGCTTAGAAGACTTGCTTTAATACAAGGGGAAAATGAAACATCTTTACCAAACTTAAGGCAGCAGAGTTTGTTTTAAGCAATTAACACAGCAATGCAAGGAAAATGAAAGCACCTTTAAGCCATGTCCCTCTGCCAGAGGAGCGTGGATGCTTACCATCCTTCCCTGGCCACTCTATGCGTATAGGACCGAATGGTTTGAAGGCTGACTGGAGACCAGCTACAAGGATGGGATGAGTAATTTTAAACTCTTAGTGTCGCAATATATACAGACCACTAATTTACAAAGGCAATACTTTTACACGTTCAGATTCCAATTTCAAAGGATTATGTTAATATTAACATGATCAACAGTTTCATATCTTATTCCTAATATTTCCTGTAAACCACTGCTTAATTTTTCAACTATATTTTTGTTTATTCAGTGCAGATATTTTAATTCCAAGCACGTAAGAAAAAAAAAAAAAAAAGAGAAACACTATACATAAAAGAAGCCTCTGCAGAAGTTGTCATCAAAGTGCCATGAAATAACTCTGGTGAGACTCTTGCTAATGCAATTAAGGTGAGCAGATTAAAATGCCTCCTCTTGTTTCCAACACACTTCTATTATCACCAGCATTTCCACATTGTACTCAACACAAGAGGCATGGCAATTTATTAATAGGATTGCATTCAGCAAGAGTCCCCACAGAGTTGGATAGATTTACGTAGAATGATAGTTTCATTGAGAATGAGCCCGAAGACATTCTCTCTTAAATAAAATGAGATTTATATTTGAGGTAACATCAAAAATAACAACATTTTCTCACTTTCAGTGATGTCCCAAGGAACCCCTCCTAGGAAAACCTTGCACGAGTAGCTTGGGTTTTTGTACACCTTTGGGGGTAACTGACCGCTCCATGTACAGGTGGCTTCATAGAGAGCTAGAAATAGGAATTTTAAGTTCAAAATGCTCATCTTCAAATATCTTTTCAATGAGGAAAAACAACATGGCAGTTTTTTCCAAAAAGAGCTACTGCAGATCCATTGCTTCATATTATCTTACCAAACCTTTGCTATGCATTTGGACTATAGGCACATTTTTTAAAAATTGTAACACTTTATAATTAGTTGACACATCTTAATCTATAACTGTATTATCATAACATTGTAGAATAGCCTTATTAATTTCAAGGATTTTAAGTTTTTGAAAGCTATTCATTTAAGAAATGATTTGCATAAATTAATATTCATATAGATTAGATCTTATTCTTACAAGCAGCATTCCTGTATAACCTTGCTGCCTTCTCAATAGAATAAGGATCTGAACTGTTTGTGGAAAACAGGGAGTTCACAGACTGCCATCTTTTATCAGACAGCAGATCAGTAGACTGTGGTCCAGGACTTTCCTCTCTAGAATTAGGAGGACATGGCGGCGAGCGCATAAAGTCTCCACCTTGGAGCAGGCGCGTGAGGTCCACTTGCTGAGGCTGCTGGGGAGGAGGGGAGGGCGACATGGGCCCTGCAGCTGGGGGGCCACCAATGTGGAGGGAATTCTGAAATCATGAATCTGAAATCTTTGAGGAATCAAGAAAAGAGAGACCAAAAGTATATTATAATGAAATCATTCTTTGTTTAAGGAACAGGATTTTTAAAAAACTTATATCAATTTTGTACCATACCATGAGTTCAGTGAGAGGATCTGTTGCACTTCCATCACTGCCAAGTCCTGAAGTGTCAGAGTCACTAAATGGTGACGGGGAACGTGTCAGAGAGCAGCGGGATGTATTGCCATAATTCAACATCGGAGAATTCAGACCACTGTAATCACTGTAAAAAATATTGGCAATAAAATGCTTTTTAACCTTTAGAGATTGGCTACTTGAAATCAGGAGCGTTGACAACATTTTAGAAAAAAAAATCATCCTTCACTTTAAAATCAGATCCAACATCCCAAGTGCTATTATGACCTTTTTTGATCAGTTATGTAAAAGGTAGAAATCCACAGATTGGCTAAAAGTTCCTGTGGTTGCTAAACAACGATCCAACAGTTATGCTTTTTGCAAAGTCTGTAAATTGTCACACTACTAACTCTTTCTTGAAATTGAATGACACCTAAAACTTTCCCCAAGAGGATGGCATTATTAAGAAGACGATATAGCTGACCTAGACAAAGAAGATCCCCTCCTCTCTGCAGTGATGGCCCTGAGCATTCTCTGTGGTGAGTTAGTCAGGCATTCCAGCGTTCTATTTGATATTGCCCCTGGCACGTGAACCCCATGGTCCTGGCTTTTGGAGTAGTCTAGCAGTCCGCCATAGCCACCATGATGGCGATTTAACATGGGAAGGTTCACATTGGAGACAGGTGGAAATGGGTGAAATCCTGGCAGGAAATGTGAAGTAAATTTTTATATTAGATACAATGGGAAAATGTCATTTAAAAATAAATTTGTGTGAAGTTTATAAAAATCTCAAAATGACTATCAAAACTTTTGTCAACTAGTGTGCATGCCATACTTTTTAAATGTCATTTTAGTGTGTATGATTTATTTCTTAAATGTTACTTGCATAAGTTCAAAAGTTGCTACTACCCAAATAATGTCTGACAACAACCACAATGACAAAAAAAAGTCACTCCCAAGTTACCTGAATATGAGAAGGTGTTTGGAGACTGTGGAGCTGGAAAACCATACCCTGAAAATAAGAGCTCTGCAGTGGACATGGCAGGCATGGCAGCCATATAGGATGGGTCTGGAAGAAAAATGCACACACATAGCAATTTTGCATTAACAGACAGATTAAGCTTTAAGTAAAAATTATGTCAAATTTTCAAAAAGCAAAAAAAGTCAGGCTTTGAACACTCTAGACAAACAATTCATTAAATTTTCACCAGACACCAATTGAAAGTTCTCCTTGAAAACCAGGTTCAATTTACCTCTTATCTGTTCTTGCTGCTGTGGCAATGTCAGTCCCGCAAGACTGTTCAGATCGAGGGAGTTTCCTAGCAATGCATTTATACTCTTGAAAATCTCTGCATTGGCTGATAAATATTTTTCATCAGCTTGAGATACAGGGTTTGGATTATACTCCTGTTGATGCTGGAAAATATTTAAAAATAGAGTAACTTCGGGTAAACTAGCAGCATTTGGAAATTCCCATGCTTACCTATCTCGCAAACCTTTCCTAATTCAGATCTTTTTAGATTTTAAAAAAACTCAAATATAAGTACCTGACATTGATATATATTTCCATCTAAATGCGCAGGAAGACATGGCCAGTCACTTAGAACTGATTTAAATTACAATTGAAATTAGAAATGGTATAAAATATCAAATCCAAGTGCAGTAATGGGTCAAGCTATATTTGTGTGCAGGAGAAAATTTTCTTTTTTGTGGAAAATTTGATTTGGTGGGGATATCTAAAAAAGGATACCTTAAAACCCATTATAACTGCTAAAATCTGGAACAGAAAGTGACCAGGGAGAACTGACTCTGCTGGTTGTGAATGTGAGGTATGTTGGTACCATGGCACGATGGGAAATTAGGCTGGGGTCCTCAATTAATCTTTTATTTGGTAAATTAAAACCATTATTTGAAACCAAGGCAAGTGCTTGCATAAGAAATATTCCTATAGATAAACAGTATGAAAATTAGCCTCTTTTTAAGCAATCCACAGTTGATATGGTGACAGATTACTTCACATTATTAAGCAGCCAGTCCTTTCAATATCTTTTGTAGAAGGTAATCAATGTCTTAAAAGATTTTCTGAGCTTGAGAAACAAGAAAAAAAAAGCAAATACCATGTAGATATGGGAATCAATATCTGAACTTTCAATTTTATCAAAAGAGTTCATTACACAGGCAATGAACCACAGCTGAATGATGCAGCCGAAAATGAAGGGCACCTCCACAGGTTTTTATGGTTTTTGCTCCAAAAAGTACTATTACATGTATTGTACAACCATTTTAAAAACTTATAATGGGGCACAGAAAAATTCATCGTTTTAACTGATTATATACTTATGATAGCATTTTCTAGTGAACAGATATCCTTGGTAGATCTATGCTACACTAAGAGCATCATTATTTAAATTAGAAAAAAATGAAAATAATGATTTCAAAACTGTTTTAATACTAAAATACTAAGTGATAACATTTTAAAGGGATGTGTTGCTGAAAAATAAAATCAAAGCATTCCAATAGCTTATAAAACGAAGTTTTGTTAGACATAAGAATATTTTTGCAACAATTTCCATTCAGAAGTACGGAGTGTAAATTACCAAAATAACGATACTTTGTTGCAGAATCCTTTTTGTGAATGAAACATGGTTCTTGTTTACGCCTCTGGCGGTTAACTCTACCTATTAAAATTAGACTCTCTGGGGTTTCTCAAAAGTATAATTTCCTTTTATGTACTGTGCTCAAACGCTGAATTCCAAGTAAACAACAAACAGGTGTGATAATTTCAGATTACCTGCCGTACTGCTAAACTTCGGACAACGTTTACGCAAGTAAGCCTCAGTCATTCTGTTCAACATGTCAAAAATGAACCAAATTACAAGTCACAAATCTAAAGAAATGAAAGTGAGGAAAAGAGTGAGCTTTACGTCTTACCGATAACGAATGTGCCATGCTTTCGTTATTCACTCTAGGGCGGCTAAAATTTGACCACCACTACCTGAGCCCTGCTACTTTCTTTCTTTGCAAGTCCTGTTGCGATCTGTCCTCTTATGGCTTTCGTGATCGAGGTGCAACTGATGCATAAAGAGTGAATCCCAGTTTATATACATTTCACCCAAACAAATGCAAATGAGTTCAAGATTTTCACTCACCCTTTCGAACCTTTACGGGCACTTGAAAACTGTTATCGAAGTTACCGATCACGTGACGGCCTTACCACGTTGTCTGCGTTGTGATTTCCTTGTCACCCGGGAAAATGATGTCATTTTACAGCAAGACGGACCCAGAGGGATGGTCTTTATCCTCTTTTTCTCAAGATGACACTTTCCCCAAAGAGAGAAAAATACACTTTGCCACTAACAGCTACTGCAGTTTTCTTTTGGGGTGTCAGGTTGGGGTGGTGGGACATTTGCCATGCACGTTGCCCAAGTACGGTTGGTGCATGTGTAGGGGGGGGGGGGGGGGTTCTAGTGATATCTGTCAAATGGTCAAATGCAATGAAACTTTGTTCAAATTTACTATACAGAAGGAACACCAAATATTATTGAAGAACATAACAAGAATTTGAGAGATAAAGTGACTTTTTAGTTTACCTACCGGTAGTTTTTCAGTATGTATCCTACGCCGCATATTTGGCGAGCTAAACATTAAAGATGCATTTGTACTTTGAAGTTATATTTTGCCACAAAACCCAACCAAATGCCACCATACAATTTGCTCCTGTCAGAGCACAGTAGGATTATTGATCACATACATGTAAATGCAGATTACTTTTATCTAAAAATCAAAATGGCCACCAAAACATGACAGAGAGTAAAAAAAAAAAGAGCTGCTAAATCAGTATAGTTTCGTGTAAATAGGCTAAAAAATACCTTTGGCTTTTCTCTTCATTGTTGATCCTATGATCCTAAACTATTCTTATCATCTTCTTTTACATCCAACTAATTCTTTTTTGAGTGTGTACCAGTAAGTCCCCTTAGTATAGTAAAGCTGGCACTCCCATGGGCCCCATAGTAGAACCATGCAATGTTACTTCACATCATAAAAAAGAAATTCTATATTTTGGATTAGAAAACTCAAATAAGCTTAAGCTTGGGTTTTCTTGCCAGTTGATACTTCCAGGACAATTAGCAATTTCCATAAACCTAGATAAACTGATTGTTACAAAAAAAAAAAAAAAAGAAGGATAAACATTAATAGATTCAAATCACACTATATTCTTCATTTCTTTTTGGATTTCGTAATTGAATGTTTATTAATACAGATGCATATTGCAATTTTTTCTTATATCTCAGCAAGCCATATTCATAAAACAAAAAGACCACCAAAGCTATGAAAAAAACAGGGAAAAAGCTGTTAAATTACATTTTTCTAGTGACAAAGACCTTTAATATATGAAATATTCGTATGTCTAAGTAAGGAATATAACTGAGGTCTAGGCAGGAAACAAAATTAAACAATTTGTTTATCTAATTATTCAAAAAAGAAATATGTCTGCAAATGCTGTTCTATGAAGTATGATTAAACCAATCAGTTTCATATCTATATCAGTATGTGACAAAAAACCTTTAATCTTGGGTCAAAAGATTATATTAAGACAATTAAGCACTTCATTATATTTTTGAAAAATGTGAATGAAACCACCTTTTTTACCCAATTTAATCCCAACATCTAACTTCTTATTGCAGTGATAAATTTTAGGTGAGACTAGGCTAGAAACATGTAAATCAAACTTTATTTTAGAAGCAAGTAGCTTTATATATAGTTTACAGGAAAGAACATTGCAAGGTTTGACTATTGGGCTTATGTGAGTTTCAACTAGACAATTATTTGCTTTGCATTTATTTAATGACTGGTAGAAGAGGTTTATACACGATAATAGAGAATCCACATTCACTTCATATGCAACTTTATATTCTTGATATATATATATATTTTTTTTTTCTTTTTTTTTTTTTTGCTTTAATTCCTTCACTCTGACAATGATTACTTGGATTGGCAGTAGTTGAAGTTCAGTGTTTCAAAAAAAAAAAAAAAAAAAAATTATTAATCAAAAAAATAATAATGACTTGATCCTTCCTGGATCTTTTGTCAATGAGGCAGAGTTTTGTGCAAAGGTTCATTACCAGGTGATGGTATCACAGTGGTAGTCCATATGGAAACGAGATGAAAAATGGTAACTTATGAAGATTTCACTTTTTAGGCCAACTCATTGACTAAGCATGCAATTTAAAAAAATTAAATTCTTTTCCAGACAAACTAATATTAATTTTAATGAAACAATGGCAAGAATGACTCTCTTTTGGTCCTACTCACAGGGTTGTAGGTAGATCCTAAAATAAAAGGCGTCTGGCAAGCACTTTTGCCACACAGAAAATATGCATTCTTTTTAAATTAATACAGACCTGCAAGTGCCAATATATATAATAAATATGCATGTATCGTACTGTGAGCTTTTGATTTAAATTGTGCCATATACAAGGATGCTGACTGCAAGAACACACCAAACAGGGGCGGATCCAGAGATATTTTGTGAGAGGCTTCCCAATCATCTTATTGATCCACTGTCCACTTTTGACCGTCTTCCGACAGAAAAAATTAGATACCCATCAATGTAAACTTGAAAATCTGACCGTCTTCCGGAAGACCCAGAAGACGGCCTAAATCCGCCCCTGCCAATGCTCTGAAGCTCTACATGAACTGATTTTTTGAATATCTACATACTACTTGTTATAAAATGAAAGGGGAATTTGGTAAAACTTTTCTAAAAAAAGTTTTTTTCTGGAAGCCATGAGAAAGAGATTTTTTTCACTATGTTCTCTTTTCATTTTAGTTCATTTATTTATTTAAGGAATATTATTTGATAATGTGTATGGTTTCTTTAAAATCTTAGTCCTGAATTTATGCTTGTCTGTTAGCTTGGATTCTTGAAAACAATATCTGAATTTCAACTAGTTTTTAGCAGCTTTGACCTAATCATCTCTGGCTCCCTTCAAGCCTTATAGTAAAATACTTTTTTTTTTTTTGGGGGGGGGGGGTCACCATGACCTTGTATCCAGAAATGTATTTGCAAACCACTTACTTTCCAGTCTTAAATAAACTGAAGAAGAGTAGAATAAAAAAGACAAATAGTGATAGACTAGCTAAATGATTTTATTTTCATATGTTTTTTCAATATTATCTGTTGCCGAGCTACAAGCCTCAAAAAGGATAATTCTATTTGCTTTCCTTCCTACTATAGCTACTATAACTAGCCACTAGAGAGAGAAAGGTATGTCGGGTAACTGTTTCCATGGCAACTAAACTGTGCAGGTGCACATCTTGGACAGCAGCAGCAGAAATACCATTTAAACAATACCAAGAAATAGAAGTGTTGTAATGAATTTGATAAGCTTTTAGAACAGAAGATAAAAAAAAAGGAAAATTTTTTAAAAGTTGACAAATTTGTCCCTGTCAGGCGTGATCATTCTTTCCTTCACTCTATTCATTTCTGCCACTTAACACATCTTTTATGTTCTTTTTGAAACTTTTTTTGCTGGGCACCAAAAAGAAAAAAAACAATTTTGGAATTTTCCTCTCAAAAAGATCAGAGCATATATCTTAACTGCAATAATTATATAACATCACAAAAATGCAATATTGAACAACACTTTCCAAGGTGTGCGTTTCAGTTGAATATGAGTACTATTTTACATGTACATTATAGTGGATACAGACTTTACAGAACAACTATAGTAATTTTATACCAACCACCTTTGTAAAGATAAAACAATGTGTTAACTGCCCATTGACCACTTTCCACATAATATCTAACAGAAAGGGTTTGTAAAAATATGATATATAAAAATAGATCTTTCATATCAAAAAAACTTTCTGTACAAAATGCCCAGTTTGTAGGATTGTTCATAAAATGTAGCCCACAATGATTTATTTTTGTACTGGCACATACTGTTACACCAACTGGCACACTGTACACTGAGAAAACTACTAGACACTCAGAACCAATCAGGAAACAGTTAATTTGGCAATATGCAAATCAGCTACTAGACACTCAGAACCAATCAGGAAACAGTTACCCTGGCAATATGCAAATCAGCTGAGCAAGAGCTGGCTGGTGCTACATATAAATTAAGCTAGCAAAAGAGAGCACTACAAGCAAGGGCCTTCTGCCCTGATTTAACTTTTATCTAAAGCAATGATAATATAAGGATTAAATATCATATAATACTTTATTTTTAACAAATTTGGAATTTTCAATTTTACTTGTCCCATTATATAACAAGTGCTTTAAACCCACAAAAAGATGTGATAATAACAAATCTCCATTTCACAACCAATCCATAACATTTTGTTAAAATATTCTTTAAAATGTTTATACTTCATATGGCTGGCAAATATTTTGGCCAAACCAGTATTGCACAACTCTTGAATATGTCATAACTGTAGTGACGTCAACAAACTGAGATTCTCCCTCCAACTATGTGTGTAAAAAGTAGAAATTTTAAATTCCTAAATTGAATATCAATATAATAATGAAGCACTCCCAACTACAACATTATATAACAGTTCTTGAATAACCTTGTCACATAAATGACTCACTAACCATGCACTGACTGAAACCATTTAATAATAGCAGTGACTGCCAGGCAGTCTTCACAACATGAAAAGGCTTCAGTCCAAAATAAACTTGAAAATTCCAAATCATCAATTTTCTCATCATTTCTATGTATATGGTACAATATATGTTTATATACTTTAGACTTCTCTAATGTTTTTTTATCTAATTCTACTAAGTTGTTTGAATAAATATGTATGTATATATGATATCTATAGTAATTATATATAATATTTAAATAAAAGTAAGAGAACCCAAGAGTCTTCCATGATAAAGAAATAGCTTTGCTACATAAGTAACAGTCAATAGATTAGTCAAGAGAGGGACCCCATGGTCAGGGAGACAGAAGAGTAAGACTCAAATATGGTAAAACTAGCCTGCCTTTGACTGTCCATGTCAATGGGTATTATAACTGTGCAAAAAAGCAAAAATTCTTCTCCTTCCACAGGTTATTAAATGCAAACATTGTGATATTATGGCTTCATAGTCATAGAGTCCAGTTGGTTTTAATGATAGGGTCTTTAGGGAAACATGTTTAGCTGATACAGCAGGGCCATAGCAATAGTCCTAAGGTTCAATAGTCCAAAAGTTTATTGGTCTGAATGTTCACTAGAGAACCTTTGGACCATTGAACCCTTGATTTAAAAACCTATGAAAATGTTACCATTTGCTGGACCAATGAACCTTCAGACTATTGAGATGCCCGCGATACAGCAATGTACCACATCTAGGTGACATTACAACTTATAAATGCAGTCATAAAAATCAAGTTATTTAAAAATGGAAAATGATGTAGTCTAATGGACAACACAAAGTAGTACAGTTTTCCCATATTTAGGCTGATTATCTTTGGGTGTTTAATAGGCACTAATATAAAAACAATTGCACATAGCCCAGTAATGTGAGCACTAGTCTGCCATAGTCTTACCCTTGTCTTGTGTAGAACAGCATTGCTTATCCTCTCTTCTAATATCAATGCAATGTTGTTGTTCATAAATAAGTTAAATAGAACAATAATAAATTATAACAATATGACAATAGAGGTGCACTACAGGTGCTGTTCATTCACTGTAAGTACGTCTTTAGGGACTTTCTCAATCCATATCAAATGCTTATTGGCCATAACAGAGACATCAATTTGCTGCTCATATCATCTAAATAAAAAGTAAAAGTAAATACTGAATAGTGACGGAATGTGATAAACACTTTGCAATACAACATATAAAGAAAAAATGAAACCTTTGTATTTGATTTCAACAAAAACTTCATGTGTATTTGATTCCAACAAAAATGCTCTGGCAATTCAACCTCGTATCTGACGACTGAGGTGACTGAGAAAATGACATTGACTTTGACCTTGCTGCTTCAAATATCATCTTTGACATTTCCACTTTGTTACAGGGACTATATGGAACTGACAGCAGCTAACACTGAACAACGGGAATGTTTATATGATCAAGAGATTCAGATTTGTGTCCAAGACACTAAGAGATATTTTAAGGAATGGAAAAACTTTGAAAATCATGTCTCTTTTCAGCTAGAAGTTGAATTGCCTGAGTTATATATAAGTATAAGTGCAAATAAATAATGTAAAATAAATGGACAGCAAAGGCTGTAACTTGAATAAAATGTTTCGTATTCAATATGTATATTCATATAATTATATATATAACCTTAGCACAAATGATTTAAAAATAATCATAACAACCAATCAATCAAAGAATAAATTATTCAATTTGTAAAATGATAAATAACTTTTAAAGTCTTTAAAACTCGAAAAAGTCTAAACATATTTTTCTCTACCACTCAGGTGATGTGATTATAATTACACCTGACTAGCTAACCTCATCATTTAGGAACTATTTACAATCCATCAATGGATAATGATGACTGTGTAACCAAATATCCTCCCCTAAGTAAAACGCATGTATTTCAAACTGTGTTATCATCAGATGCCTTTAATATCTCTATAACAATGGTCCAGCCTGGCTTTTTTCCATATTCCAGATAGCAGAGAACAACTTACAGTCAAATTCTTCAGGTTTAAAGTGCTATTTACACAGGCTGCTTCTCACAAAACTCCAAGTGGTGAGACATTTTTGAATAAAGAGGAAAACTATATAAGAGTTTTTTGATTACTTTTTTGAGAAAATATCTGATTCAAAGGGTTGTCCTTCTGTACAGAGGTCCTTTAGTTTTTGAATGTTCTGTGAATTTCTAGTCCTTTCGTCACTGTCTGTTTGAACAACCAAGTCTTGGAAGTGGTAGGCAACCATTTGTGTAATCTGCAAATTAAAACAAAAGTGAATTTTTCAATAAAAAGACTTCATGGTTATAATACTGTGTGCATGGTAAATTAATATGAGACAAGTAAGAAGAAACACACCATTGCACACATACAAACAATGTTAAACAATAATGCAACCAAACATAGACACATCAAATTGTAAAGAAAGTGTAAAAGAAAATAGTGTCATCAATTTTATATCCAACTAAAGCCTGCAATATGTATTGCAACATTTTGAAACCCTTCTTTTAAATTTTGAATACTGCACACAATTCACTTTCAAACAAAGCAGTCCACTGATCTTTTTCTACTTTTAGTTATTCCAAATATTCATAACTATCTTCAAGTCCACTAAAGCCAACATTAAGCCAGGAGCAAGAACATTTTATCTGATACACAATCACCCAACAAAAGTTTGTGAATGAAACAAATAATCTTGAACAAAAAAAAAAAAAAAAAACCTTTTGAGACAATTTAATAATCTTTCAATAAAAGTTTCAAACCCCCAAATAAAATTTTGTTTAAGTTGGTGAAATTAGGACAATGCCAGTTATACTCAAAAGCTGACCAAGATGTAAGAATTCTGACAAACTAATCTTTCAGATTAAATCCTTGATATATGAATCAATGTATATATAATGATGTATAGCTGAAAATATTTGACACATGGTTAACACACAGAATTTATATACTATGACAATGGTGAGCTGATTATACTGCAATGATACTGGGAATATAACACTGCTCCGAAACTGTTCACGTACTAAACATAAGACAACAGCTTAATGTGGTCACTACTCCATTTCCTAGGCAACGTTCAATAATTCTTCACCCACAGCAAATGAAAGCTATATATACTGTAGATTACTCACCACACCACACACACCAGACCTCTAGGTACAGTAGATATATATTAACAGATCATATTGGAATGAGCTGACTGTTGTATTCATTGGGAATAATGCCAATTTAACATTAATGTATCAGTAACCAAACATCACAGGAATGAAATTTGAAATATTTATGTTTATGATTGTGAATGATAAAGTTTAAACTCATGATAAGCAAGTACCCCCACCCCAACTACTTAAATGCACACTATTTTAATATTATGGTATCTCATAAACAAGGTTTACAGTTTGTAGCATTATACTGGCAATATTTTAAAGATTTTGTGTAAAAATTCAATAAATGGCCCCCCCAAGAACCAAAATCTGAATTGTGACAAAAAAGAAAAAGGCGACAAAAGAATAAATATGTCATGAATGGAATGAGCAAATGAAAACCCCAATTTGAACACTGGTTGATAGAGTTTTATGACAAGGTATTAAAAAAACGAGTACATATTTTTTCTATAAAATCTTCAAGATTGTGCTGATTTAGAGAAGGGTAGACATGGGTATGGATATCCATTCATTCAAGATCTTTGAAAAAGTTTCCCAACTTAATTTTTTAAACCAAATCAATTAATCAATATTTCAGTACCACCTGCAACAGCATAAGTTGTGAAATATCATTCTTTTAAAATTCAAACCTATTCACCCATGTAAACCCTGAAAATGATACCACTACTACAATTAAAGTAAAGATACAACAGCACTCTCTCCTAGTACGGCACATGTATACATTCATCAAAAAGGTATTGACTTCATGCACACTTCACGACAATTCTGCCTAAAACAGGTCTTGATTGACAGATGGAGAAATTGGATCGCATGAAAACCTTTCTACCACATTGTGACAGGTTGAGAAGAAGTAGTGAAACGTCTGCTCACAGTATGATTAAAAAAGGATGTTTTGACACAATGATCAAAATAAGCCACAATGTCCCCAAACTCACAGCAGGTCAAAATATCAATAAAACATTAAAGTTACATGGCAATAATAATAATAATAAATATATATATATCGATAAAACCATTCAGTTCAATTGCTTGGCCACCGAACACCAAGAACTTACGGAATATATTTTACCAGCTGCCAATCATATTGGGTTGCCATAGCAATGGCAATTGTTGCGAGGTCTGCCATGGAAGCAAAGTGCAAACATAGTACATTAGGCGAGAGTGATATATCAACTAAGATTTCAGCAGATCAGAAAAAATCATCAGCAGTAGTACGAATATGAATGTTTTATATTTTTTATGTGAAAAAATGTTTCTTGTACTCTCAAATCAGATAGATTGGTTAGTTAGAAAGACAAAAGGAAACTGATCCATGCTATTTTAGAGTCATGAATTACAGATGTATAAAATTCACTATTTGGAAGTATGGATATTAATATTGCTAATTAATATGCATCCAAACACAGACATTCTTAATTTAATGTAATATCATATATAAATATAGTACTTTAATGTCAATATTTCCATTTCATTTTCCTTAATCTTACTCAGCAGTGATATAATATACAAATTCAATGCGACTTTAGACAAGAGAAGGGTAATCCTGAATAGAGAGGTATCTACATTTCTGTTTTGATCCATGAAATATTGAAATTTAATGCAACTAATATCCTCTTTGAGACTGTTCCCGCACATGACATAGGGGATGAGTAGGCACTGATATGACCAAAACCAAGTCTTTTTGCCCTAAAGATCTACTGCATTAACAGAATTACGTACAAGCCTTCCACAGGGATGCACACAGGAAGCAGAATTTTAGGTTAAATTTGGAGAAAGCACTGATGGAAAAATCCATGTAATTTCTTTAAAAAGTTCATTAACTATGTAATGACAAAATTTCCCAATTTTTTTATCTAATTTGTTAAAAATACACAGAACTCAATTTACTGGACAAAAATCCAAACTTGAGCATATTCCATAGAGTACATGAGGCCCACAGGCAACCCCTCATCTGGGTCATGTGAAAACTTACCAATCAATTTTTGTCTGCTTCCTAATATGGGCGATTGGCATCCTTGGGTCGTTTAAGCTGCACTTTCAGGCGTTTCATTCCAATCTGGAAACCATTCATAGCCTGGATAGCAGCCTGGGCACTTGTGGGATTATCAAAGCTCACAAAACCTGACCAAGGCAATAAATATACCATCAGAATTATGGGTATGAGATACTGGCATTTTGTGTTCTACAGAAGTTGATATTGAAAACAATGAAGATAATGAAATTAATTTAGAAACTCCAAGTCCAAGGCTGATAATTAAGGTTTTTGAATCTACCGTTCAAGATTTTGGGTCTGTCATGTCATGCAAAATTGTTGTTTAAGAACAATGTTTTCTTTTAATAATCTTAGTTGTGCATTTTTATGTGATAATTAACAATGCACAGAACTCCAGAGGTGGCAGAATTAGTGTGACAACACACAAATAACATTGAGTTTGCACTGTCACATTTTATGAAAGAAGTTTATTAGAGAACCTTTAAAATATGGAATGAATCTTTAAAAATGCCTTCTATCTGGTTATTGGATGCATCCTTGCTTAAAAACAGCCCTTTTCATTTGAAATTCATTAACCCCAAACAACTACACATGGTATCAAATGAGAGACACAATTAAATTTTCACCTGAAGTAATCTTTCAAATTTCAAAAGTATGCTCTATTTTTTAACCAGTCTGAAATGAAATTCAATGAGTTCTTCAACAATCATTATTTAACTACCCCTCTATCCAAATATTTATCATATATTTAGCAAAAATTTAACAACCCTTTTCCAAGAATATTTTCCCCAAAACTTACCAAAACACTTGCTCTGATTGGTTGCACGATCCACGTACACTTTAGCGCTGATCACGTTACCAAACGGCATAAACATCTGCGCTAGCTCGGCATCACCAAATTCTTGGGGAAGATGGTAGATGAATAAGTTACAGCCTTCTGGCCCTGGAAGAAGTTTTAAAATACAATGAAAATAAGACTTTAATTTGATGTTCTTCTCTTAGGATTCTATGGTTTGTTGTCTTACTTGCAGGGAAAAAATGGTAGTACTGCTACAGGTAATTTTTTACAGATTATAAATTTTACTTAAACTTTTTCCATTAAAAAGTATAGAGGACAAAAACAGCAAGTTAAAGGCAGCAGATAATGAGATAATGAACAAGGACTATCAAAAAGGGGATGGCCTCTATACATTTACTTGTTTTTAAATATATTTCAAGCAGAGTAAAAGATTTTTAATACATTTTATTTAAATTATATATTTCTTTGCTTCATTTATTGACCAGTTATTTAATTGTGTTTTAAAACTGATTTTTATTACTTGATTTAGGCACTCATTTACAGAAGTTCCAGAACGTAAGAAGGTCACAAGACAAAGTACATCTCTTCCTTATTCCTACCCTTCCTCAGAATGCCACTGGTGTTTGTTACTGTGTTTACACATTTATAATCCAAAGAGAAATGTAAATGATACATTTTGCTTTGCTCAAGAAATGGAATACTGGTAATGTGACAAGTCCTAGGGAGTCGCCTGAAATGTCATCAGAATGGTACCGCACGGAGGGTTTTGATTAGTTACGAACATCACAGGGACCCATTTACATTAATCTTTCATAGGAAACCAAAGAACTTGCTTTAAAACACTGCCAATGCAATTCACGCAGATGCACTTAACACTGGCTATATTCAATTAAGACTTTTAGAAAATGCAACCAAAGTGTATAGTAAATTGACTCCAGGAAATTAGAGTGGTATTATAATGTAGACAGTACTACTTGTCAAGTTCCATGTCATTTCCATTTGTGTTGATGTGTAATATGGCTTGTCAGGGTGCCAAACACTTTCTATGTGCCAAATGGACCTCCACGTGAAGGAACATGGTTTCCAATATTCCCAAGAAATGAGTTATGTATTGATCCGAAGTTAATAGAAATGGATGACCCTTCATCGGGGAGACCATAAAGCTGAAAGGGCATCAGATGGATATGTGAGACAAACAGAAAAAAATCAATGACTTTTGATGAATTTATGGGAATTATAATCTCTACCTAATGCCCTAGTAGTTCTGAGTAATTCCCCTTAAAACTCCAAGATTGTGCATAATCTTTCTCTGTATAGACCAGTTGCACCCACAAGGCACATTAGATGTTGCAAATATCTAATACTATGTGGTACATTAAGCAAATGCGGTTTTAATGTGATAGAGAATGCCAGACAGAATCAATAAAAGCCATAGCGTTAAGGCCACCTGATCTCCAAGGTATTGAACAAAATGGCTACACTTGTTATCATTTTTTGTCCCTTTTTTTCAAATGCTACATCAGCAATTAGTTTGTGAATTGAAACATGTTTAAACCAAAAAGGATCTGTAGACTTATACTTTTTAGATGACTTGCACTGTGGGAGAAAAGAAATGTATCAATTCTTTGGTACTTTTAACTCTGACAGTCTCTGCGTAGTTTGGTACAGAATTGAAACACCCCTGTCAGATTTGAGATGATCAGGCAAAATGTGTTCATCACTCGACATATCCTTAGCATTTCTCCAGGAAGACAAGTTCACACCTACGTGATGAGTAGTGTGTATCTCTGTCCACATTATGTAATGTATTAATACCTGTAAAGATTAGGTCAAACAAGGACTCAGACCAACTCCATGTGTCCACCTTACCCTGCAATTTTTAGTTTTTTTAGGTATGTGCTGTGGTTACATAAAAGTAGACAGCTTGAGCATCTCAAATCTCACAGGGATGTTTTATTCAATTTAGTAACAAACTACTGAGACCCATATTGGAAGGTACAATTACTGCTATATCGCTTCAATATAATGCTCGATGTTAAAATGACATAAAGAAGGCAGTATAATGTGGCAGTGTAACATTATATGTATTTTCAATGCAAACCTTTAAATGTTAAAACATACTTAATCAGAGCTGAGGAGAACAATACAGTAATCGACTTTCTTCTCAGAAGAAAAAAAAAACATGCCAAAAACTACAATATTAAAAAACATAAAATTACTGTAATTAATATCTGTAGAAAGCAGCCATGCAATAAGTAGAAATACAATACAATGAAATGATATCTAATTTATTAACTTACCTTTTTAGTTTGATTAATGCAAATATTGCATGTTATATTATACATGTTGGTCTTTATTTGGGTCCAGTGTTTCGATTAGGGCCAGTGCTACTTTTATTGTTATTAAAGAGAGATGATATCAAGTATAAAACTGCCTTTTTCTTCTTTTTTTGTTATTTAATATCCCATAGATATCCCCCCCCCCTTGCCAAGAAAAAAAACTTGTGTACAATAACCCAGCAAATATACTACAACACAGAAATATCTTACCCGTCCTATTTCCAAATCTTCTTTCAAATTCTTGTTGACCTGGGTGGGTAATCCCAGCATGCAATGGGTCTGAAGGTCAGGGATATTTTACTACATAAGGCATTCTCCACAATTTTGCAATATATCCTCATCGAGGGCATCAAAAGTAGGTTGCATTAGTGAGTCTAAAAATTCTAAAGTCTCTAAATTCTTTTTTCATAATAAACTAAGATAGACTGACTGACAACTTAATGTTTTAAGATATTTTAATACCAAATCTGGAGTGTTCTTGAATAAGAAGTTTTGTCTTGTAGTTGTCATCAAGCAAGCAAGAAGTTATCTAATTTGCCATCTGACTGTTTGGGCAGGGAGGCATCAATTAACATATAGGTTAACAATTAAAGTAGCAAAATGCTCAATGGTTAACACTCCATTTCCAAAATTATTCATCAAAGCATGAAATATTCATCATGTTTCCATCTCAGAAAGCTTTCGATCATCAAAAGAAAAAATGATGGCCCCTTTCTGTCTATCAATAAATAAAACCAACATCTGCAAAATGTTTATGAATCGATAAATAGTGTGACTGATCCAAAACATTCATCTCTGGTGATTGATGTCTCCATGTTCCAAGAAACATGCCATTTTATTGGTAGCCCCAGTCGAGGATAATACAAGTTGTGGAGAAGGTATGAAGAACAGGGACTGGATCTAGACATTCTCTCATACACAAGTTGATTGGAAATATCTGAATATTTTAATAGGTCTTGGTCATTTTGATTTAAAAACCTTACTCTTGAAAAGCGAAATTTTGAATGAAAGGTTGAAATAAGAATGCTGTCCTGATCCACCCCCTAGTGGTGAAAACAGAGGAGTAATTGGTGTAGTGGAATAGTTGTCATAGTTACGTACCAACAGGCATGGAGCCTGGGGTGTGCTCTTTCTCACTGGCAGGCTGGGCAACAACAGGGTACATATACACGTTGGCATTGTAGGGATCCTGACCTAAAACAGCCAAGACAAGAACACACTCACACCACGTCACTGACTTGACTGACCGCCAACCAACAGACTGATGACACACAGGCGTGCACAACTGAAATGCAGTAACGCACGCACATGTATCAAACGTGAGCAAGCATATGCTTACCGTTTGTCAACACACTGTAGCCTAATAATGAAATGAACACATCTTTTTGTTAAATATTTTGCATGTTTTTCACCTTATGATCTGAAAGGTTTATCCCTCCTCCTGGTGTAAGCTAACAAAAACAATGCTGATATGCCCTTTGTTTTAATTGTATCTTAAGATAATAACTAAATAAATAAGCCAAATATTTTTGTGACAAATATCTTGACTGGCTCTATGTGTGTTCACAAAAGTATGACAATAAACCAAAAATTAATCAATTGTCATACGCTTGGGCTGGAGTTGAATATCCTGGAAAAAAATTTCATGAAATGAAAAATGTTTTGACAATGTGCTAAAGTGCATTACATGAAAAAGTCTTTCTCAAGCCATTTTTGCCTTTCCAGTATTGCTACACACTAAGAGCATTTTGATGTCTGGCATATTCTTATCTATAAATCATTGTTTCAAGGTACCTTGTCACTTGAATCAATATTTCGAGATCAGAGTTATGAGCATTTCCCTACATGCTGTATAAACATGGCTGCAAAAGGTCCACATAACACTACTGTCCAGAACGGTCAGAAATGGCTCAAGTTCTAACACTTATTACATCCACAGACTGTGTGATTACAGTATATATATGCTGGTCATAGAAGAAAGAACATACCTTCTTTTTGTGCTTGGACTGCAATGGCGGGGTGCTGAGCAAGAACTTGTTGGAACTGACCTGCAGCGTACGCAGCTGGGTAAGCTGGAAAAAAGTGATTAAACAAATAATATAGTTTTAACAAAAAAATGTGTACGGAAAAATGTTTGTGAATGATGTTTTCATTTTGTCACATATCTGTTGTACATGTTTATGGTATCTGTTTTACTTAACAGTTATTTACATACAAAAGCTGGTTTATGATTTCAGGAAATCACAGTTGTACATGCATGGAAGGAAATATAAATGGTTTTCAAAATAACAAAGACTGGATATCCATATTTTAGTAAAGAAATCTGACCACAAAGAAATAATGACATCCTTTCCTTTTTGTGTGTGGTTGTCAAACACTTTGTAATGCATTACACTGAATGCATTCAAATATTTTTGTTCCGAGAAGACATGACATGTATGACACATTCTTCGTCAAGCTTTACACAACATGAAGCATGCAACTTATATGATGGCAGTGATTCATGATGAGGCCAAAATTCACCATCTTATAGATTTTTGGTTTTACTTCTAAAGTTACAATGTAATGCTGGTCTTTTTGAATTATTAATGCAGAATTTGTGAATAATTTACGTAAGAGTTCTCTCAAACTGACAACAGTTAATGTAGGACTCTGTTGACCTTAGTTTAAAATCATTCAATTATAGAGTAAGAGAAACTATAATCCATGTTTTATTTACTGTCACTCCAGCTGCTGACATGACAACATACATATTTAATGATAGGATATATGAAGCTGTAGGCTGTATCCAACCACAGCAGCAAACATGACATGAGATAATAACTAGTGCAGTATGTTTCTTTTTAGATGTATTAAATCTTAATATCAAAATAGCAGTAAAACATTTGCCATATAGCCATATCAGTGAGCTTTTGGTTTAATTTTGATAAGAACTGTTTCATCAAAAATGTATATCAATTATCAAAATCTTTCATTGAGATTTATAAACAAAGAAGCTTAATTTCCTTGTTATATTTGAGTTTTTTCCAATTAATTAAATATTAGTTTCTTTTTAGCTCTGAAAGATAAAGAAGCCCTGTATATGACTTAGTAAAATAATGCTGATAATTCAAGAACATATGAAGAATCTGCATAAAGACAAATGAAGCAGTCCATGAAAATACACAATATATAGTACACATGTAAATACGTCCAGTAATCAGAATAAAGAATTTGGTAAAACATACTGGTACATACATTGTATCTGTGACAGTTTCTGAAGTCCAAGAAAATTGCCTAATACAGTCTTTTTTCATTTTTCTCTTCATATCATTTGATTAGTTAAGAGCAAAAACTATTTTGTAATGGCATATATCATTAAAATATAAATCTTGCAAGAGACATTTTCTTTGGACTAAAACTGTTTCACATTCAAAAAATACTCTACAGCAACATTATCCATACCTGGAGCAATGACTTGAAATTGAAAACAAAAATCACAAACAATAAATTTCAGGTATATTTAAATCGTGTTACGAATATAAAAAATTCCAATATTTTGGTGATGTTTTTATTAAAGCAGACATATCCCAGTACTCCAGATGTGGTAATGATAAAATACAAAAGATCTAATAGAGTGAACATGACCCATGCAGACATGCAGTAAAAAGCTATAGCATCCACACCTATTCCGCCATACTGTGGGTGAACTCCTGTGTACACGGGCTGCAAGGGGTCACCAGGATGGGAAGGGGGAACTGCAAAAGACAACCATTGGAAAAACTCAGATCAAGATATACTGGAACTGAGTAGATCTGAGCAATATTGAAGAAAAAATAGAGAACTGCAAGTTAGTTAATTACTATTTTCTACTAGCAAGTTCTCATTTTCCCCCCTGTGCTTATTCCTGAGCTTCTCGAAAGTTTTGTGGATAAAAGAAAATGTGCATATTAATATCCTTAAAAACTGAGAACACTCATAGTTACAACAATGCCAGTAATGAAACAATACATACTCTGATAATCCCTTTATTATTATTATTGCCAAAGACCTTGAATATGACCTTAAGATTACTAAGGCCATTTCAAGGTTAAAAGTTAATCCATCAGCATGCATAGGAAAACACCAAGTAAACAATTCCCAACACCCAAATTTATTACTTTCCATGAAACCCATAACCAAAATGTTTAGTGTCAAAGGTAAAATAGCCTAATTTTTTTATTACAAATTGCTTACTATCTGTATCGTATATCACCTGTGAATTCTACATTTAGGTTGAGTAAGTAAAGCAGCCAAACTCTCCCAAAAAGGTCACAAATTACACTGCATGGAAAAATGTAAGTGCCTGAACAGCAAACAAATTTTAGAAAATACTTTTAAGTAAAAGCCAAGGTGGTGCATTCATAATTGGTCTATCTGATCTCTTAATTTTGAAAAATCCCCCCTAGCTGTTACTGCTATTCAGGCTCTTTGGAACTACACACAGAAATGCCATTAAAAAGTCTCACAAAATACACCATGTCAAACAATCAAAAATAAATCCACATAAATATCCAGACAAACAGATCAAAAACCAACCATTCTGACCTGCCGCATACTGTGGTATGCCATTAGGGTAAATATCTGGTCCATTGGATGTAGGAACAGCAGCAAAGGCAACAGTGGGCGACAGCATGGTTGGTGGACCTCCGTTCACAGCAGTCGCTGTTGTCACGGGAACCAATCCAGAACCTAGAAGGCGGAGAAATGAGAGGGGCATTATGTGACAGCTAGCCAGTGGTGCACGTGGTTTGACACAACACCAAACGCAGACGTCTTTCTTTTACTGCATGTGGCAAACTTCTGGAACTCTCTAAAGCTTCAATATGCAAATGGACATACTCACTGTCATGCAGGTTCTTAAGACTTGAAATAATCATGCTAAAAAAAAACACAGACATGCAACGTTGTCATTATATCTAATTAAAGGATTTAAAGCATGAAAATGTGCTGTTGTTTTTTGGATGAACAAAAAAAGAAATGGAATTGCAAGCTTTTCAAGTTCCCAAGAATCTTGATTTTCCAGATTGCATTCTCCGCATGCAATCCTTTGTTCCTATGGGGAATAACTTAGAGTACTGATTAGAAGGCTACACCATGCCCCTAGTCCATTAGCTTTCATAAATATTTCCACAAATGAGAATTGAGAAAAAACCTATCTGATATGTGTAAAGACTGGAAGATTCTGTTGCAGTAGTTTTCTGACATTTCTGGCACGTAAAATTCTCATTACACAGTGCCCATTTTTGTGATAACTCTAAGGCCAGATTGCTGAACAAGAAGAAGATTAAAATCCGTCACATCAGAGTTATGCTGTTTTATAGCTCCCTAAGGGAATAATCTAAGAGAGATTACTTTTCTTGGCATGAAATACGGAGATTTTTCTAAACATTGAAAAGGAATTTCCACCCAAGATCTCTATAAATAATGTGAAATTGGTAAAATAGAAGCTATCCCAATGGAACAGTTATGCTACAATGAATAAGTAACTGTGCATTGTACCAAGAAATATAGCCTTGCTAATGTTTCTCAATCTACAGAGAGAAAGAATCAAATAAAAAATCTCATTCACTGTAAAAGCCTATCAGTCTCTGAGTATTTCACATTATGAAGGAATAAAATTTTTGTTAAAGTCAAAAATGATACTTGCGCTGCTCAAAAATATTAATCTTAAGTCACAATAACAATCAAAAGTCTACACAATTTGCTTACTGAGCTTAATTTCTAAATTCAAATCAAAGGCATTTTCAAAAATTATGGTTTCAGATAACTGAATGTAGAAACATCCAGAGCATTTACTGTAACAGTTATAAGATTTAAACTAAAAGTAATCTTTCAAAATGTTCAACCATCCTTATAACTGAATTACCGAAGAATGCATACAGGGTAAATGAATTCATTTGGAAAACATGCAAGAAAATGTCAAAAGATGTGGTGAAATTTATTTTTCTGTAACTTACAAATATGTTGTTTTTAATACCTAGCAAGTGGCTGTTTTCAGATTAAAGAGCACAAAAATATACCACACTGGGATATTTGCTTCAAAATTCAATTTGCTTCCAGATTCATAAAAATTGTTATCAACAAAAGCCACTGTAATAGGAATGCATGAAGATTAATCAGACGTGAATGCTGCTCTCAGGTCCATTTCAGGAAGCCATGATGGTAGAGGAAGTACCTTTATTTCCTCACCAAAGTAATAGCTTGATTCTCTTTAATGAAATTGAAGGAGAAGTGCCTGGCCGCTGCCATTAAATCCCTTTATTGCTGGCCAGACAAAGGACTAATTAGAGTGTACAAGCCTGTCTGTATGCTGAACTACACAGAAAAAAATATAACTGTTGGTACCAGGCGAATTTACTTTTGTTTTATTTTTGCATGACCACCTCTGTGATTATCAAAAGGAAATCAGTCTAAGATATTTCATTTGTTCTATACACCAACTTCTATATTTGATCAAAATTGATCAAAATCTGCTAATGAAGAAAAAAACTCCATTTGGTCAAAGAATATTTACCTATTGTAACCCAAAATTCTAAAGAAAAAAATCAGTAGTTTGACAAATAATAGACCTTTTTAGTTTAATTCTTGGTCTAATTTAGTGTGATAATAGGTGCCATTTTAGTTTACTCCTTGATCTCTGAGATCAAAGGCAACATATCAGGTTCCCATTTCTGATTGTCACCCACAGCAAGATTTCTAAGAGTGCAATTTTGTTTAATCTTATCCAAGCTGCAAGCCACACACACACATATTTTTAACTAATCATTTTTAGCAACTCTAGCATTTCTTTCACGAAATTAAGTAGCTGAATGTATATTTTGTAATTAATTCTCAGTTCTTGTTATTTTTGCCCCCCAACTTCATTAACTACCTCATTCTCATGGAAGTGCCTTTAATACTTTTTTTTTGTTCCACCAATACCCATTACTTATACATCAAACATACCAAAATATAAATAAATAATAATAATCCCTGTATCCACAACAATTCCAACCAAATTTACAACAATTAAAGCAAAAACAATAAGATAATTATGATAAAATACCATCACTCCAAAGTGCTCCATATCTATTTACCTGCTTGTGCCATTGCCTGCGGAGAGATCCCATTTGGTAATGTTCCCACTTGGCCCAGGTGTGTCAACGATGTGACAGGATTAATGTATGCACTGCCCTGTGCTGCTGCTGCAGCCATGATCGCCGCTTGCTGCTGCATTAGCTAAAACAACAGTAACCTTGGTTGAAAAATGGAAATGTATTCTGGTTTCCAAAGGCATGAATTTCAAATTATTCTGTCTGAAGTGGCAAATTATTGATGTTTCCATTAGCTGGCTCCTATGAGCATCAGAGGATTCAACAAAGACTGACTGCTATCTCCACTCTCCACTCCCTCCAATTAGACTCCACTCAAAAGAATTGCATGAGGGAAATATGCTGCAGATAACACAGACCTTGATGTATTTCCATATGTATAATTTGCTGGGTTGGGATATCTCTCTCATCCCACTTGCTCAGATAAAAGAGATGCAATAGGAAGCTGAATGATTTCATTAACTGCCTTGTCAAATTTGTTCAGCAGCACAAATGAATGAACAAAAATTTAAACAAAAATTCTTCTGAAACAAACTGATTTTCTTTTTGGAATGTAAAAAAATATTCCTTAAATGCCACATGTATAGAAAAATTATGTCTGACATTAAGCTAAGCATTTATCTACATGAAAGGGCAGAGAAGCTGATGAGAAATTACTGACTACAAATTGAGCCATTCCACTGACAGGGCTGCCACAATTAGATGCCACTAAACAAAGCAAAAATCACTAACAAACTAATTAACTTTTCCTTTCAAATTTGACAATCTATGTCATCTGCCATCCCCCTGCCAATAAGTGGTAGTTTGGGAGTGTACAGAACACTAAATCCAATTCCAACACTGTCAGGAAGTTTAACAGAACTCTGTGTCGAGGGGGATTTAGAGCAAAAATTACATGAAAATTTCTGAACTGGAGCTTGTTGGCCAAGGCAGTGAAAATCTATATCAACCTTATCATTTGTAGTCCACATTTATATATAAAGTTTTCTGTATGTTGTACTTTACAGGAAAACTGATGGTACCAGAATGGATTCTATTAATATATTAGCATATCCTTATACATTTCACAACAGATCAAAGGATTTTATGATGTCCACAAGCACTGTTTTTTTTTTCTTTGGAACAGCACCTTGAGTAATATAACGCAATTTTGTTCCAGAGTTTTTAAGTTCAAGTAGATGTGTTGTTATTCCAGAACTCAAAGCTTGTCACATACTGGAGCAAAAATAATCAATTTCTCATTTTCAGTCTGTATTGAATCAGCCACAGCAGTAAGCATTTTGGCATTTGTCCAAAACCCATTGATTAAATAAAACAAAAAATGAAATTAAAGTTATTACAAATATACTGTCTACTAATTTTTTACATTTTCTAAGAGAAGTGAAAAGGAATGACTTTCAGTATAATGGTATATTTTTCTATCAATAAAAAAGAAAAATAATGCAATTTAGGAAGAATTATCTTGAATAAAGCTTTTAAATTTACCATCTACAAAAAAAAATAAAAAAATAAATAAAAATTAAACCAACAGCTTAATTAAAACAGAGAGAGAAATACAGAGTGCACTTACGTTCACTTGTGAATAAGCCCCGTACGCATGTGTGAGAGCGAAAGGGTTCAGCAACCCCAAGTTTCCTGCCATCTGCTGCATTTTACGTAGTTGCCGTTCCTTCTCCGTGTCTGCAAATTTCACAACAATACTGGAGGATGCACCCTGGAACATCAAAGGAGAACATGGCCATCTTTCACTGGATCAATATACATGGGAATTGAAATCTTACTGTACACTCAAACTGGCTGATCTTGATAATCAGCTTTAGAAATGACATAAAGATCTTGCCACAAGACAGGTTCTCCCACTCTGGTATCTTCTGACATGCTTTCTGCTGATACTGTCATTGGTAACAAATGTGAATTTCCCCTAATTACAAACATGATTGAAATTTTATGGCAAAGATGAAAAAAACAATCTTCTAAAAATCCAAAATCTAATTATCCATATTATGTCTATATCTCAACTCTTCATTTCTTACACAAGACCTAACAATCGCAGTGCTCTGATTCATATTTGTGTAAATTTCTTATAAGTGATAAAGCAATCCTACCAGAGAAATATCTAAAAATCATGGTAAGTTTCTAGAAACCAACCATACAGACATAATAACATAAGTAGAATTTCTAGATACCCATTCTGGGATAAAACTTTGGAACTAAAACTTCAACACTTCCTATGCAGAAAAAAAAACTCAAACCTTCCCTAAAAACATGTCAAACTTGAACACCTGCTGAATCCAGGAGTTCCTTCCTGAGTCAGTACATGACCCTACAAACCTTTTCTGTAGTTTTTGTAGTAGACTCAGTAGTTTTTTCTGCAGGTTTAGTTGCCGTGGTACTACTGTTGTCCTGATCTGAGTTGCCCATATTCTGATCTAGCCATCAACGTTTTTCTCTGTCTGTTTCGTCCAAATGTTTTAATTCAAATTGCTGATCCAAGATTAATAGAGAAAGCCTTTGTCAGATCTTGCACAAATAGGGTGATCAATCCTGGCCCTTAATCGATGTGGTTCAAACAAAGAACCAGATCTTTTGTATATTAATGGAAAAAAAGCTCAGTGCAGCAGTTAAGGTCTTGGCAGGAAGGTGTCCTCTGGTAAAATGAAGAAGTGAAACTGTTCAGATTTCAGGCAACCGGAGTGGAACTGTTCACTATCCACTGCAACTCATTTGAATAAAAATGACTCAAAACGCTCATTTCATAGGGAAAACTGTTCTTAATTCATCATCCCAGGAGCCTATCGAATGTCCCCCCTGAGAGTTGCTGTAACACTCCCTCTGACCTTTCAGAATATGAACCCAAGGTTACAGTGGGAGAATAACAATAGCCAAGTTTCCAATATTGCGTTAACAGGCATCACAAGCAGTCAGACCAAGTTAATATGCCAGCACAGTTCACGCTTGAAAAGTGTTAAAACACCACAATACAAACAGCATCTGAGCTGATCATATCCATATGCACTAATGAAAACACAAAAAAGCACTGGAACATTGAGATGGATCCATTCCTCTTTGGTTAGTCAGGTCTACTATGCTGAAGCAGCTCTAATGAGAGTGCTGTGTTGCAGCGATACTACCACTTTCAATTAAATTGAGATGAATATCAAAAGCAATCTATCAAAATGCAATTACCGCCAAATCTGCGTGGAATAAAGAGATATGTTCTGCAGATGTAATGAAAGTTTGAAAAATGTCAGCCTGCTCTGGGTATATGCACATTAATAAACCTCACAGTTGACAAGAATACAATTAATTTCCATGGAGACGCATTATTTCCATAACCAAACCTTTTCTTGTCGATAATTTTGGAATACGATTCAATCCCACTTTCAGAACACTATCCCTATAAATCCAATTCAATGGGGTTCAAGTGGCAAAACTTCTCTGCATTTAGACTTTTGTCAATAGTTTGCTCATAACTCCACAAGAAATCAATCTCATTTCAAAACTTCGCTAATTACAAAAACACCAGCAATATTCCCAATCTCTTGGTAATATGTCCCTTGGCCAGAATATTCATTCAGGGTAATGGTACCTTCTACACCACTTTATACAATCATTTTTTGTTTGTCCTGATTTCACTGAAGCTGAAAGTAATTATTTTTTCTTTGGGCTGAATCATCTAGATTTCATATATTCTTAAAGGAAATTACAAAACCATTGTATGACCTGGTGGCTATTAATGATACCAATCAATTAAACCTGCTTAGTTTCTTTATGGACGTTTAGAGGATATTGTGCAACTGATTTATTGCTCCAGTGTCAGTAGATCATGTGCTTTATGGCACCAACTGAAGCAAACGGTGGACATAATTTGAGAACTAAGCTGTGCTTTCATCATCTGTCTGTAGTAATATGTCAGAAGAGGAATATTTGTGTATTGGAGGCATTCACATATGCATGATGATGTGGCGTGATGACTAGAAATATCACGTAATTATTTTGGCAACGCAATCATTAGATCTTGCTTGTAGCCTGGCTGCTTCCTAACACTGTAAGATACTTTACTAGTTTATCTCTTCTAGTTGGGAGCACAGTAATGACAACTGGAGCCATTTTGAGGGCTATCCCATAAAGCCTATCCCTAATGGCTGCATATCTCCTGATGAATGTAAGCTGCACATAACAGTGGCTTGGGAGTAATTGCACTTGGCTTAATGATGTGTGTGACAAAAGGGCATTGATTTCAAATTTGCCTTTCCTGAGACGCCCAAGAATCTAACTGAGCATGAATATAAATTACAATTTTAACCTTCAAATGCATGCATTGGGCTGTAACGCTACTAAACATTTGAGCAGCAGTTAAATGATTGGTGCCTTAGTGTCAAATCCGTAATCAAACAAAATGACTTTGTCAACCCTTTTCTAGTATAATGTTTTCTGCTCGTTTTGTCACCATTAAAATTCATCACTCAATTCTCTGTATCTAATTCCAAGATGAGCTTAAAAACATAAGGTTAAGCAAAAAACATATCCCAACTTATCACCAATGTATCCTTTCACAAGAAAAATGTGTGAGCAAAGGTGATCACATCTGAGTCATCTGACAGAAAGTGAAATGTTTAAACTCAACATAGACATCCTATAGTAGCAGATGCTCTGAAACCAGCAGATTCACTTTACTTGTCATTATCAACCATTTAAACCATCAAGACCACTGTACGCAGTCGGCCTTAGACTGATATCTTTTACATACAAAATTCACTAAAAATTTCTTTCAAGCCACCCGCCTCTCTTTGGGCTGTAGGCACTGATATTTGGCAGCAATCAGACCTGTTCACATCTGAGCACAATTGGGGCAAACACAATCACACCCCACCGACAGCACCTGATATAAAGCTGGCACCCTCCTACCCTATACATTTCCTTTAAATATTAGTGTAAAGTTTTAAAATGATATAATCATGAATGCTCTTGAAATATATGGATACTATTAGGAGAGAATATCATCTATAGCTTTACTGCTCATTCGTTAACATTACTATAGGTTTTAATATATGCTACATTTAGCAACATGGCTCTACATCCTATTACTGTACAGACTCTTCTGATTTCTGTATTATACCTCTTTGAACAGATATATTTAACTGTACAAATTGAATTTTCTAATGTTCACAGCTAGTCTTTGATGTTAACATGACACTATAAATGAACTTAAAGTACCTGACAACATTAACATGACAAGTAAAGACGCTACAATCACAGTGATCATCATGTGACTAGAGTATATGTACAAGACAACATCTGCCAATAACAACACACAAACGCACCACAAGAGGAGAACAAATCTGGCATAACAAACATTCTAAAATGGAGGAGCCCGGTAAAATGGACAGAGGGCAAATAAGAACAAGAACAAAAATATTTTGATTCTATCACCAGGTTGTGCAGCATTTTTTACCAAATATATTTTCTGTATCTTGATACTAAAAACAAAATGGAAAAACAAAGCAAAATTAACCACATGTATTATTCCCATCAAAGTCATGCAAATTTTGCATCAAGGTGAGAGACCTCATCTGCTGCAAGCTGACACCATTATCGCGCCACTTGATGATGCAAATTTGCATATGCTACAACAGCAGTACAATATTCTCTACAAATCTTCTCCCATTCATGTTCAGGGCCAAACACACTGAGAATATGGCCAAGAACATGGATAGTTGTGAAAACATCAAGGTTATCCTGATACAGGGCCCCCAACACTGCAAGATAGCAGCCCTGGAAGGGGATCACCAATAGCAGTCTCCATTTGAGAAGACTGTTGAGATTGGATGTCAACTACAATTGGCTGAATGCACTAGAAGCGAGCTGATCTAAAGACTACACACAGTTGCTAGAAACCTTTTGTAGAGGTCCTGGTATTACCTAAATAGCAATTATAGTTCAAAGAATCAGTGAACTGTGTATACATTGTGGCAAACAATGTTTTTTTCTGAATATTGCTTCCTCTATTCCATTGTCTTTTCAATGAATTCCACATGATACATCATATAGCACCAGAAATTACCAGTACGCTGAAATCATTAGGACCAGACATTCTAAAAACTGTGATTAATGATGCACTCTATCTTCTTAGCCTTTACTGCTTACTTAATAAACTGAGCTTACAGAGTATAATGCTTGAGAATCTCTATGCAGAAACAGCAATGGTTACTTTTCACCATATAAGGTAAAAAGACACTTATCAACTAATTGCACCATATCACAAATTTATCAATGGTGAATGCTGGTGGCTTTTTTTACTCTTACACATAAACAGTACACCAAGACAGCATCAAGTCCCAAATGTGCAATTTTGCACTCTTATTGCATACACCTTGTGATGAATGTGTTATGATGATAATAAAGAACATTAAGTGATTGTCCAACAACTTACTGGCATGGTCTGGGATCCATGTAATGCATTAATGGCTGCCTGTGCTTCTGCATGAGAGGAATACTTGACAAAGGCACATCCTAGAAAGAAAGCAGAGAAACCAGCATTAGAATATTGAAATCTCCACCAAACACACCAGGGAAATTGATGCTTGAGCTTGCATGCAAATCTCATCAAGCGCTGTATTAGGTGTGGTACGGTGGCACCAAGGCCCATAGGACATGCTTCATATTGCACACAGAGAAATTGGATTTCACAAGAGCTAAAATGACAGCAGCATAATCTACTTGTGAGCTGCCACTGAAAAATATTGCCTGCACATAAATCAGCACACCTTTTTTTTTTCTTACATATTATTGTGTGCAATTTCAACCCGTTGAGTAAGTCAGATCTAGCATTTCAGATCTGTGCAGTTTAGTCCTTCAGCATGCCTAGCATAGCTATACAGCTAAATCACAAATTTTGGCTCACAAATCCCTACACTTTTGGTTTTGAAATAAACTCTATAATACAATGCATGACCAAGCAAAATTCATCTTGAAATATATACCCTGTTTGGACTGAGTCTCCAGTTTGGCTGACGTAGTTTAACTCTCCAACACGTGCCCGTTTCCTACTAGATAAAGAACCAGAAACGGCTTTCTATATGATGCACCATTCTGTTCTTAATGTTTTATGAAGTGTAATATGGATGATGCTACAGCTGCTTAGGAAGAATAGTGTCACCTTGTAAAGGTCAATATTTAATTCACCATACAGGTACATTATGACTTAAAATTAAATCACTAGTTCCAATACATTAGATGCACAGAACTAGTGTGCTGACAGACTTTCAAAATTAATTATAAATGATATCAATCAGGAAAAACTTTATTTGCTAAAGATGTCTTCAATGGCTATAGAGAAATCCTCATTAAATTAATGCATAAAATCTTATATTCTTTCCATTAATGCTATTACTGGCATTTACTTTACATTATATGAAACTGTATAATATTCACAATGTAAACCCACATGAGCTGGCAAAATGTGGTGCACTATTAAAGATGTATACCTATTTGTATAACCTGAATATAGACCACACCCAACCAGCAAGCCATACATTTTACTTTGAAATGCCTCCTTTGGGCTTTTCTTTTCTAGCTTCCCACAAATTGGTGTATCTTCGGTTTTACTATAAAAGGAACATCAGTCATAAATTTGAGACAGAAATTGTCCCAAATATGATTAATAGATGGATCTTTTAAACCAAAGAGTAGTCCCTGAGTTTCAAATCACTTTATTCCTTCAGACTTAAAATATTTCAAAAAGTGAGATTGGACCAAAAAAGCACTAAGCTAGATTCACACCCTTTTATTTGCTTATTTCCCCCTCTGTAACAACGTAAACAAAGTACAAATAAATAAATAAACAATACCGAGTTAACTCTTTTGAGGAAAAGCTGCATTATAACATAATGGCAAAATCAGTGCCACATAAGAGAAATTACTATGGAGTGGTCTGAAATTTCCAACTTGTGGTAAACATTTAGAATACATTCATCCAAAAAATTGTCTACCTGCATGAAAACTTGCCAGAAGAAAAATGCACATTTCGAAATAGGACCAGCAGCCAAAATGTCTTGGCAAAGGCAGTAGTTCTTAGACTTCCATTTAGAAATATCAGGGAGTGTCTAAGTGCTGTTATGCATGTGAATTCCCAGGGCAGAACTTTTGATTGATGATACTCTTTGAATGCTTTGAATGATGTCTTCTCATAATGGACATAAATGAAAAAATATAATTAGTGTGCATATTGCTAATGCATACACTCTAGAATCTCAGTACATGGAAATTACTAAAAGCACTCATTTTGATTACGATTGCGTGCACTGCTGTGCAATCTAAGGTGGGGATAAATGAGTGATGACTGCCCCAGATAGGTTTATTGCCAGGGAATATAATTTGGACAGACAAGCTCTGGAGAATTCATTACTACAGCATTTAGCAATGTCAGTGCAATATTTGTAACTTTTATTGAAAATTGTTTGGATGACTTATTTCACATTTAAAATAAACCACCAAGAACAGTGCATAATGATAATAATAATAATATTCCTTAGTTATCTATTTTTTTCTTGAAATGAATATCAATTCATTTTATTTATGTTTTTTTTTTCAAATTTTATTTTGAGAAAATTAAGAAAAAATTAATTTCTGTTCATAACTACAAAAGAAGATTTTGCAGGAAAACAGATCTGACACAATGCTTAACAAATCTGAAAAATCTAACAAATCATGCAACAGGACTCTCTGCCTCCCCACGCCTAGTCAAAGTCAATAAGAATGCATATACAATATAATGAAAAAATGACCATGATCTAGAGAACACATAACTCTGCTCAGTTGGCAGAATCCACTGGGAAAACAAAACTTAATGGAAGAGGGGGAATATACAGGCATCACTTTGTCTTCATAATAAGGTATTAAACAAGTCTCATCTATATCCAAAAGTTAGTAATCCAATTTACACTAGTATATTTGGTTTGTGAATGCATTAATACATAGGAATCGAAATGCTTTATGGACTAGTGGGATTTCTGACTTTTTAATTTAGGAGGGCAATTACTCAAAATTTGAATGCAAAAAAAAAAAAAAAAAAAAAGTTTTAAAAAGTTGTACAATGAAAGCTGAAATATTGGTAGAGTTCTACAATGTGACATATAGGTATTCATATTATTGAATTAATTTCTTTCAGTTTGCAAATGAAAGTGATTCATATTTCAGCAACATATCACTGTTTTAATATCAACAAATAAATTACAAAAGAATACATATGGTGGTGTTCAATAATTCAGGCAAAGATAACCGCAAGTTTATCTTTAGCAGAAGCAACAAATAAAATGTACTAATTACTTATTTACTACAATAGTTCAGAACACATCTCTATAATCTCAAGAAGTAAGAGTAACCCACTGCTCAATAAGCAGACAGTTATGGAAGGTTTAAGATTAGATCCTGACTGGGAACATGTTTAATGACTAGGGTGCACATACTCCAAATTATTATTTTTTAATATTAAATACTAACCTTTACTGTTTCCATTTTGGTCTCTTAGTATGGTGCATTCTTCAATCGTCCCAAATGGCTGAAACAACTGTCGGACATCTTCTTCTGTCTGTTGTTTATTGAGCATGCCCACAAACAGTTTTCTGTCTTCTGTAAAGGAAATGAACAAAAGGATGTTGGCAAAGAGAAAACTTATTACACTATATGGTTCTTCAGTTATTTGGGCTTGGGTTTTAACATAGGTAATACAGGTAGATATTTATTTCAGTCATCATCATCATCATCATCATCATCATATATGTAATAATTCTTCTTCTTATTATTATTATCATTTCTTTTGAGAAACAAAAATGATGTGACAAGGGGAAAAGTACTCCATTATGTCATATCTGCACTTGGAAACAGAGGTCAAATTCATCATTTCCATAAGACGTTGAATGAGAAATTGCTATCAGTACTATCCAGTAACTTTTCTCCTTTCATATCTCCATGATTTATCAGCTACTTACTACAACGCAGACATATTACTGAGAAATATCCTAGTAACCTTAATGTCTTTGAAAGCTAACATTCATGAATAATACATGATAAAGATAGTAGACTACACCACTATTACAATAACACAGTGCTGCCTTTTGTCTGGTCTAAAGCTTGGAAATAATCAGCTAATGAAACTGTGCAAAACTTTTATGATAATTGTGATTACACTAAATTATTAAGCATTATCCAAATGCACAGACAAAGATCCTAAATAATTGATGTGGGAAGATTTCCCAGTAATGTTGTTCACTCCTTTTGTAAGTAGAGATGTTTCATATTACCATTTATTTTAGTCCTTATTTGTCAACTCAAGTATTTCCCGTATTTTCCAATGAAATGACTCTCCTTATTAATAATATGTTGGTAAATTTCCATCTAATCTTTCAACTGGCTTAGAAAGAAATGAGTTCGAACATATCTAGCCTTTATGTAAGTTGATTCTTAATCTAGTATAATGATGTATTGATCTTTAATGGTCCAGGAACTTTTATCAATTCATGAAATAGTGCAATATTTTGCTTCACAGTGTTTTTTCTTCTAGCCCAAAGACAGCTTTAATGAATATGAGAGAATAATCAATTTTTTCCAATCCAAAATTCATATTTCCATTATACTTTTTCAATCTCCTGTGACATGCCATCCCATTAGCAATATTTTATGTAAATCAACCAGCTCATTTTTTTCTGCATAAATATACTCAACTATTTTTGATCTGAAGGTACTGGGCAATTAATTCATTATCCCTGGTCTCTTGAGAGAGGGCCGTGTATGGTCATAATACATTCTCTGTCAGACTACGCCATTAAGGATCTCAATATCAATCTAGAGTGATAACAGTCAAATGGCATGTATGTCCTGCCACCTTTAACAAAAACTTATTCCATAGAGAAAAAAGTCACAATAACACGATTTCATCTACTCTTACTTTACAGTTATTGCACAAAAGATACACCTCTTTGGTCTAAGAAGTCTAAGTGCCCATGTGACAGTTTTACAAAATTGGGTTTACGTACTTCAGTTCAAAACAAACCCAAAGTACTCTACTTCAATAAATTAATTGTGTGTAACACTGGCAATGTATCTTTTATAATAAAACAGATACTCTATTTCATTTCATTGGACTGCTACATGTAGTAACTACCACCAATTTATCATTTTAAAATGGGAAAAACATTGGTCCAAAAGTTTAGATCAGTTTTGGTGCTCTAGCTCTTTTGTTAAACAGCCCCCATGTCTAAAGAGTAACATTAACCTTCCTTAGAAGACAGAAAACAAATCCAATCAAATGTCTGTTCAAAAAAGCTTTTAGCCTATTTGGCAAAGTTCACCTTTAATGGACAATTTCCATCGACAAGAGCTTCCAGATTGGAAATCATCAGCATTATTTGCCCAACAGAGATTAAGGAAATGACTTAATTTCTGAGGCAGACTTTGTTCCAAGGGGGAAGTTCCCTGAGGGGCTAGAATAATTAAATGGACTTGCAAATTGGTCATTTTGCCCAGCAGTATTTAGAATGGAAGAGACAGGTGGTGGGTGATCTATGTATTCATCGAAAAATGGAAGAAAATCTTAACAACTTTAATGAAAACATGACAAGAAATCTTAGACTATTATTTCATTAAAATCACTTGGGATATCTCCCTTCTCATGGGACATGTGGCTTGTTCTGTTGTAATTTGTCAGGCACTTGACAAATGCCCTTGATTCTATGGGAATGTGAGGTTAGAAGGATTTTGTGGAGACAAACTCGGATGGCAAAAACATCCCAAGAGTATTCAATGAACTTTGTAAAATATTACATTCTTCTTGTGATAGTTATATCTGATCCTCGTAAAAATATACATATTTAAATGAACCAATATCAAGCAATTTATCCAGACTTTAATGGAAGTTTAAGAAACAGGGCGGTGTAAACCAAGAGATTGTAGAACAAAATTCATCCATCTACTCTTGATGTGAATGCCCCCATATATCAATGCATTCATTTTTCTGTAATATTAAACTGTGTTTGATGGGCTGTTTTGACATGTCATTATACACATAGATATATACAGACTACACAGACCAGCTTTCAGGTGTTCTAACTTCATGGAGGTACATTATTGTACATAAATTACTAGTGAGCATCATCTAATGATACTGCTATCAATTTTGCGACCATTTTTTCTCCAAGCCTTCTGAGGCAGAACAGGTAAAGTGATGACAGGTGAGGGAATAGGCAGGTTTAGACAAATCTCAGGTGTCCTACATGTATCTGTTCTTAGAGTCCTAGGTAATAATTTGACTTAATTACGTACCTTACGGGGAAAGGAGGGCACATGTCTTTAAGTCACTAAAGATTAAACCAACTTTAATAAAATTCAATTGTTAGGGAACTCACCTTGAACCAAGATGGCAGTTCTTTGCTAAGTGTAAACATGCTTTTATTACCAACAAAAATTAAAATATGGGTACAGCAGGTTGTTATATTGAAACATCTGCCTCAATGTGTTAAATAAGAAAATAGTACCCATTCATAAAAACACATTTATTCAGCTCTGTTTACTTTTTTTATTCAAACGATAAACATCTGCCCGTGTTTTTTTTCCTTTTCTTTTTGTTGATTTTTGTTCTTCTTTTTCACTTGGCATGTTTCTCAATAAAAGCAGTTGATTCAGCATGATTTAGAAAAAGTGTACTGGTTAGTTTATTTCTAATCTCTTAATGTTAAAAACTTAATATCTTTAAAATGTTTTCCTATTATTGATTAAGATGCCTACCAAAAAATCCAATGCTTTTTTAACCTTAATGTTTCATTTCAGCATTCTTTGTTTTATGAAAAGCATTTTAATAAATATTATAAAATATATAAACTTATACATGTCAAAAGTCCTAAAAACAGCATTTTTAGCAATTAGGAAAAACTAGTATCAAGTATATAGAACCTAATAGGGCATCTAGTAGAGCATACCTCATCCATATTAGCCTAAATTGGTTTCTAGTGCTTATTAAGTATGTGAAGATAGGCATAATTACAGATTAATTCTACTTTACTAGTCTGTGCAAGGAAAACAATTTTTATTTTTATAACTGTTGAGGGCATGAAGTCCAGTAAAGGGTTATGGAATGAAGAAGTGACATGCATTTTTTCTTAATTAATCTTACTTGGACAGAGTTAAGTAATATTCTAGAAATACTGGATTAAAGGTTAGTTTAATATGCTAACTGCTGGTTTCTGTGTTCTAAGAGAATAGGAGTGTGTTATACCATATATATACTACGGACCTGGGGGTATTAGTTAAAAACTATCTACAAATAGGTGTGATAGGAAGAAATGGATTACCTAGGGTACTGGTCTGCAGGTGGTCTGTTTGGGTGGAGAGCTGGGGGGGTTCCACCCAGGGGCCCGGGGCGCAGGATCTGTCGTGCCAAGCCATGCCTGTGAGTGAAAATGTGATAAACCCTCTAGATACAACAACACAATAATACTGAAAATTATACCACTGCTAACCTTAGGTGGTGGATAATACATTGTAACAGTACTGCTTATTATATATATATACCATGGGTAAGTGTATGGTCTGCTCGGGCAGAAACCTTAACAAGTTTCGATCAACTAATTGTAATTAAGTGTACCATGACTTAAAAATATCTCAAGGTTATAAAACTGCAGAAGTAATCTTCCTCCAAGACATACTATAATTCAACATAGCACCTTCATGATAAACTCCTTAAGTATTAAAACAAGCAAATATGGAGTAAACAGAATATCAAAAACCATTTTATTTTTCTGATAAAATACACCAATTATTGCAGAAAATGATACAGATGAATTCTAGTAATCTATTTAATCATGAATCTTCCCTTGTTTATATTCTTAATAAATTATATACAAAATGTTCTTAAAACATATTAGGATGTTATTAAATGCTATCACTTTATTAAGAAATTAGATTATTTAGGCAATATGCTGACCTTATCAGTGAGGTATATCTAGATGCTCAAATGAGTATGATCCCATTTTTTTTTGGTCCAACTCCAATGAGGAAATCTTTTTTTACTTGTACAGTCAAGTCTAATAACATGGTCTGATGATCAAATTTTAAAATTTCAACTGCCAAATAAATAACTGCCATCAGACAAAGTTCCATATGTGTTTCAGCAGCCAGTAAGGTGTACAAAGGGGCCATCAGCTGCCCACCACCTGCTCCCATTGAGTGTCTGTGGGCCCTGGCAGCAGGTGAACACATAAAGGTGGCCCACGCAGAGGGGTTGTGTGTGCACCTTTACTGTACACCTTGATAACACCATGGCAACCTTATATAACATACACACTTATTCATTATATGTTTTTGGACTTTTTCTCTGCTTACTGGAGGATTGGTGGCTCTTTAGAAGTGAGGTTGACAATCTGTAAAATTTTTACATTTATTTAAAAGTTTTGGGTCTCATCAGTCCTATTCCATGTCGCTCGTGGATTTGTGTTTGTTGGTCATGTCATTTATGCAGACAAATTACGCAAAGAGCACTGTAATGACAAATGTTAGCTTCAGTTGCTTCAACTGGGTCCTTGTATGTCTCGGTAGGCCTTAAATCTCTTGACTTAGAACATAATCTCTCATCTGCTGTACTAAATGCAGTATCAGTCATTTTTCTTAACATCAACAATAGGTTAATAGCTTTTATACACACTTAAATCCCATATTCTCTTAAATACTATTTATAAAGAATTATTTATATTTATATTTATATTATTTAGCACTATTTATAAAAAATAAAAAAAAAAAATAATAATAAAAATTCAATAGTTCAATAGCGAAAAAAAAAAAATCCCATAAGCAAGTAATCAATACATTATGGCGGATCCTTGCACTGGTTCCTCCTCTTCGTAATTAAAGGATTGTGCAGCAGATCATTAAGTCATATTGATCATCCTGTATTACGTACATGTAACCTTCAATTCAGTCATGTTAATATTAACACAAGCTTTAGGGCTTGGATTTGGTGTATCATATTATAAATTTTAGTTTTACATGATTGTGTGAAGAAAGAGACATTTCATATAAATTGATTACATATGTGTATAATTTCAAAATACTTTATTATTGTTCATGAATATGATGAATATGTCTGGTTTATCAGTCTAAAGTTATAAATTTATTTGTCACCTACTTTATGAATTTTTTTCAAGAGTATGGTTTAAATAAAATATAATTTTTGAAACAAAACCATTGCCAACTAAACAAAAAGCATATCAAAATATTTTCTACATAATAATAAGAATAATTATGAAAAAAATTAAAAGTAATACAAGTAAAGCTAGTCTGGGTGTCATACATATGCCATAGTTCTTTCTGGTACAGGCTTTATATAAATTTTTCATACACTGAGTACATGCACTATCCACAATAAAATCATCAAATATTCATTGCGTTTCCATTGTCTGGATTAAGGATGTATGTCTGCCTGGAGTCCATTATTTATCTGCATAGTTTATAATACTCTATAGACACAAATTATACTGAGGAGATGACAGTCTCCCATATAGTCCAGCAGTAATATCAGTATAGGGGACCCCTATCTTATATTCAAGGGGTATATATGAGCTGTAAGGTTGAACATATTTATTAGTATTATAGCATTTTCAAATATTGTTAAAAACTGAAATTATGTTTTATAAAATTTAAGTATTGCTTATCTCTGCTGCTTTGTGCTTGTTTTGTCATATGGACAATATCTTACCACAATATACTGTTGCAATGATGGAGGTAATTAATGCAGAACTTACATCTTATACGATAGCCATTTGTATAGCTCTTTCATCTCTTTAGTGACTCTTTACATCATCTGAACCTGCATTCCCCTGATTATTTGATGAAAACAGAGAATGGAATGGTAGATTTAATGGTAATTTATTATTTTCTCACTTTGCATTCCACAACACACAAGGCTCTATTGCCATGGCAACCACAACATTAACTGTCCCTTGCCAGGTTTTTTCCATCACCATAACCACCTAACTGTCCATCACACCATATCTAGATAACCCATCTAATCACAATGTGACTGTCAGAAACAAAAGGAAATGATATTTCTATCACATCAAAAACACATCTTCATCAACTGAACTGTTCAGGTGCATTGTTTGCATGTATCTGTCAAAGAGTTCTGAGAAAATGACAAAACAATGTGTCAAACCAAGAGTAATAAGTGAGGTCCAACAACAAATAAAGCAGATCGATTTGACAAACCACTCATTCCCACTTAGAATCACATGTCAAATTAAAAGCATGTACTAAGTTCTCAATGAAAATTATATCTAAAACAGTGAAGAAAATATATAAAAAAATGACAATTCACAAAAATCAAAAGAAATTGAAAAGAAAGCTGATGCTTACCTCCAGCCACCATCTTGTCAAACATGAACACGATTTCTTCAAATAATACACAGACACTGAGGCAAAACTGTATGTATGTATGCTTATGTATATGCACACACACACAGACAATTTTTTCAACTTAAGTGATACACAGGGAAGCCACAGACAACAATAATAATGTTCAGTGCGACACAACACTGACAGCTAAGCTACTGACACCAACACCGTAGTACAACTGTTCCTAGCAGACTACAAGAACCATTGGCCGCCCCAGTGTCATATTGATTTATAGACCCTCACTGTCTTTGTGCTTTGTCTTGGTAATCAGGAGGAGGGCTTTAACACTGATTAATGAGATCACATTTTCCAGGGGAACACACGACATTCTATGTCAGAAATCAAGGACATCCACCAAACAACCAGCAAGTTTCTTGACCAAAATTATTAAATCATCATTATCTCTTCATTTTGACATATACTATTTTTTCAAGACAAAAATTTATTTATATATATTGTCTTCAATTTTATCAAATCTAATTTTTGATTCATGAGTTGTCAACATGCTCACTGATTTAAAGCTGAAGCCCTTATGTCTCTCCCTAAGAGATTATGTGCCAATTTTAATCCTATCACCTGCCCTAACAGCTGTCAATTAGGCCTTTGCCTTCTGTTCTTCAAGATTCAATCAGAAACCTGCTCAGGGAATAGAATGCAAATTTCAGGTGTCTAAGATTGACCCCTAACAAAGGGACTTAGCCTTGACAACTGGACCTCTACAATAAAGCTGTGAAGCAGGGGAGATACGAAAAGTGTTAGTGATTGGTCCAAGTAAAGCCCTGTCAATCATGGACACGTGCCTGTGCTGATCACAGTTATCCAGCCACTGTTGTCACAGCCATCACCTTGTTTAAGATGAATAATGATTGGCTCCCTCTCTCCTACCTGTCATTATGGGACATCAGCATAACAAAACCACATGACCTGGTGAACACAGACGGCCTTCCCTGGCACGCGCCAGCTGCCAGTAACACAGTCCCATTCACTATGACCACTATGGAGTACTGCACTTTCCCATGCAATTCCACTGTATTTTAACCTCATCAACATTAAAGTCTGCAGCCTTTTATATATCTCCCCCTTGGGTTGTTTAAAGCAAACTTTCCAATGAAATTATGAGAGTTCAGTTTTCATATGTGATATATAAAAAATGAAGCTTTCTAATTAAGTGTCCTCGACATCAATCACCTTAACAGTTATCTGCCTTGGGACAACACGGTCCCCACTTTAGCTAATGGGTTTCTTTATGGGTATCAGCACATTTCCAACTCACATCCCACTTAATGGACCTTGGTGTGAATTTTTGGCCTAATTCTTTCTACTATTGAGTAAATAAATTACAGTATATCTTATTTTTTAGTAATAAAAACAGTTTGAAAACCACAATCTATTTAAAAGAAACAATTGTATATTTAACTGTAAATTTTAGAAATCTTTTTACAAATTTTATTAGTATTGTGATTAAACTGATGTAATTTTCATATTTTCTCACCAAATAAAGTATCTTCCAATTTGTTTTAGTCAAATATTTTTCTGTCATCTGAAAAACCATCCCTTCATAGGAATGTTTCAGTAACAGTGACAAAATTAAAGATACAAATGTATACTTCGAATAAATGTTCTATATTAGTCAAAAGAACAATCACAATAATTGTCATTTTTAGGGTATATCAATGAAAAATGTGAAATATCTATTTGGATTTGAAACATACTCTGCACATGCACATTGGAGACCTCTAAATTTAGGTCCAGGCCTAAATAATGACGGCAATCACTGACTACATCTGAAGAAAAATATTGATATGCAAGTTCAATTAAAATAATATCAATCAAGCTGAATGAAGAATGCACACATATTCAGGAAGTAGAAGAAAGCCTGGCATCTGTGGCCTGAAGAATCGTGCGAGCTTGTACAAACTAACACACTATGTTTGTTGTCATATCATACATCTTTGTGTAAAGAAAGAAAATCTCAGGTATTAGAGGGGCAGGTGGTGATGTTTGCCGCCCTTTATATCAACTTACTAGAGGTCTGCCTCTAAACAAAGATTGGCGCGTGCCTCTAATCAAACCAAGACAATAACTCCACCTTATGGACAGCCAACAACCTTCTAGTGTTGATTACAAATAATTCCATTCATATTACAGTACACAATATTGTGAGAGGGCAGCCTAAGCTCTCAATATAACTGACCCAGACAAAGGAATCTAATAATGTACACTATTTAGCAGTTTTGTATGGGTAATATCAATGAAAATCAGGTCTTGCCATATGGCTATATACTTGAACTCAATGGCCATCTTAGAAATCAATAGAATAGACATGGCCCATGTTTTTATCATAACTGTATTACACTCAACAGTCTTCAGATCAATATACTGATTCACATCCTTCGTAGGACTTAATCTTGTTAAATGGGTAAGAAAGCTTGCTTCCTGTAAAATCACCACTGCGTCCAAATTTCTCTCTGGCTATTGTTCTTGGTTCCGTGGGAACAGGCTGACGTGTGACCAGAGGAGTTAATTATAGAGAAGTAGTGCTAGTTCAAATATTTCACTCTGGGAGACAAATTTGTAGTCTAAGAAAAGGAAATTGCAACCATTATAAAGAACATGCCATTCACTGTTGAGTACAGTTGAATTTATTTTCCTTTCATAATTTCCATCTGTACTAAGGATCAGAGGGTTGAAGTTCCCACAATTTAAATATTGCATTACACAGTTATGATATTTAAACCAATTCAATTGAAGTGAATCTACATGAAGGCCTAGATAAGGGAAGATAAATTGTAGATTTACTATTATATTCCAACTCTTACATAAAATTTAACAAATGAATGAATAAATAAATGAAAATAGTTAGTGTGAATTTTACAAAGAGAATAATTTTAGAAAACATAGTTCATGTATTTTTATGTAATTTCAAATAGAGATTTTGGTGTTTTTCAATCCAGGATACATGTTCTGTAGTAAAACAAGTCTGCAGTAAAATGAAGAATCATCCACATACAATAATAGTAAATAACTCTGCAGTAAAACAAAACGGGTTGAGACTAAAACCACAAAGGGTACAGTAAAGGTGGTGGTGGTGGTACAATTAAGAATCACCCATCTAAAATAAGAGTCATTTTTTACTTTTGTTAAACAACACAATACATGTCCCTGTATGCTTATTTACAGGTAAGTGTTCTACTACTTATTCATCTTGGCTCAAAGTAAACAAATATTGTCAGTCTTAAAGTTGAAATAACTTTTGTCGATATACATATGCTCTTTTGTAAAGCCATCCAAAGTTGTCTGTATTGCTGCAACACATGAAGTGTAGGTGGGGTGGTGCAAACAATGATGTTCACATGTCATATACAGAATTGAAAACTAAAAAGAAAGGGGCTTCTGGTATATTTTCAAGAAGCCATCAAAAAATATTAAATAATTTACACTTGGATAAGGATTTGGGTAACCATAAATTAATCATAACATATGAAGTGTGGAACAGAGAAAAACAAAGCAAACAAGCAAAAATCTATTAAAATTTATAAATAAATTTGAAGCTTTATGAGCTGCCATTTAGCAACCCTAGATATATACCTTGTTTAATTCTAATGGTTAAATGTTAAATCAAATCAAATGTCTGAAATAACAATTATTTGCCAAAAAAAAAAAAAATCAATAACCAATTATCACAGTGACAAGACTGCAGGCATAGAGCAGAAATAAATTGTGTAAATGGCATAGATTCAATTTAAAGAAATGTTACAAAAACAAAATGCTACTTTACCAAAATGCTACTAAAAAAAGGTACATTTTCAAATATGATCAGACTTAATACATTATTGGCGTGGAATGCTTCATCATCAGAAATGGATTTTTATTGTACTTTCAATACTTTTGCCAGAATGCCTTATGTCATCATCACCTAATTCATTGAAAACACTTTATCCAAATGTGTTTTCCAGATTATTTTCAAAAATCTTTATGAGTGAAAATCACTACCATCTCTTGACTTAAAAGTTTCTATGCCCGATCTCAAATTCAGAAGTAATATGCATGTATTTTCAATAGCTTATCTAATATGTTTCAAGCACACATTTGTAAGTCAATTTGCTTTTATTGAATTTGTCCCCCTTTTTAAATATGTACTGCAATGGACTAGTGATAGATAGCACAAAGTCATGTGTTCATGTTAAATTTAGAAAAGGGTAGGGTGGGTAAAATGGTCATCAAATTAATCTCTTCCTCACTTAATAGAAAACCCCAGATCTCCCTATAAGTGCCCCTGTGTGTTATCTCAACATATAGATTTGGAGTCCATCTAACTAGCTACCAGACAATTTTATTGACTTCTGTTATCATTTTGGTCTTAACTTCTTTGCTTACAAAGAATTGGGCTCTTATTATAGCTGACCAACCGAAAAGAACAATTGGACAAATTGGAAAAATAGACTTCTGTAATGTCGGCTGCCAAGTTCACCATTGGACGAACCCCTTTAGCATAAAAAAGTATGGGAAATTTTCTACTTGAACTTTTGCTCATCTGCTGGATGCAATGGATCATGACATGAATGCTTTCTGATTATATCTCATGCATTTATTACCATATGGCCACTATAATCAGAAAGCTATACTCCCTATACTTAAAACCAGTGCATGTGAACATAAGTTTTTACATCAACTTAAAAATTTGGTATCATTCATGTATGATAGGTTACATTCTGTATTTAGTAATGCAGAATTTGAGTGTCTACAGCTAGACGGATTAAATTCATATTGTGTATAAATAAATTGCCATGGGGACAAAAATTATAAATAAGTGAATCACACACGTACATTTGCTACCTGTGCTTCTTTGTATTTTAAGTTCTCCATTCTCAGTTTTATGTAACATCTTTAGCTATCTGAATGCAGGAACTATCTTTCCATGTCCTAATTTACTCCCAACAAAAATCAATAATCCATTTTCAGATAGAGCCTCTGATTCAATTTGATAAGCTTTTAGGTTTGAAATAAATCCTGCTGCACACAGTGGCCCTGGGGAAACAATTGCCTCTTCAATCAAAACAACACACAATTTACGTCCATGCATGTAGGTGTAGATTTTTTAACCTGAAGTTTGTTCAATATACATTAGGCTGTGGCCATTAATGCCTTTTACATATTATATGCCTGATACAAGTACAGTATTTGCATTGTGGATGTCA